GCATGGAACAACAACCGTTGTATGAAACACAACAATAAACTACAACACAAATGAGTAGTTGCACTTCAGTCGACGCCTCTCTTCCCCACGACCTTTTCGCCCCAGAACTCCCTTTTTTCTTTTTCTCACCTACAGTCGTCATCATGGCCACTCCCCGCAGCGCTAAGAAGGCTTCCCGCAAGTCGGGCTCGAAGTCCGCCAAGGCCGGTCTGATCTTCCCGGTCGGCCGCGTCGGCTCGATCCTGCGCCGCGGCCAGTACGCGCGCCGCATCGGTGCCGCCGGTGCGGTGTACATGGCGGCGGTGGTGGAGTACCTGACCGCTGAGCTGCTGGAGCTTTCCGTGAAGGCCGCTGCGCAGAGCGGCAAGAAGCCACGCCGCCTGAGCCCGCGCACCGTGACGATGGCCGTGCGCCACGACGACGACATCGGTTCTCTGCTGAAGAACGTGACGGTGTCGCGCGGTGGCGTTGTGCCGAGCATCAACAAGGCGATCGCGAAGAAGAAGAGCGGCAAGAAGAGCAAGGCCACGCCGAGCGCCTAAGCGGTTTTTACGTGCGTTCTTTTTATTACGCTCGCCTACCTACTCCTCTCGCACGTGCTGTGGGTGTGTGCGCGTGTGCGCAAGTGCAATTGCGTACTCACAGCGTGGCGTGTGTAGCCCGTTTCGTGTGCTCACTACACCTCATAGATATCTTTTTTCTCTCTCTCTCTTTCAATTTCTCTCTTTCGCATGGTGGAAGTGTCAAATGGAAAACGTAGAACCCAGGTAAATGGAAGGAAATGCAAAGGAAGAAAACACGGAGTGGCAACCGGTGAGGTGCTCTCCTGCTTTATTACGCAATAGACGTCGCGCACCGGCGTTTGCAAAGCTACTGCACGGCGTCTGCACTTATTGATGCATTTCGCCAGAGTCTGCAGTGTGTCGGACTTCGTGGAATGTATTGATTAGGCGGTGGAATAGGATCCGCGCCTAATCCGAAGGTATGTGTGCCTAACGAACTCGTGGGACATCGCAAAAGAAAGACCTACTCCTTTTTACCCCTTTCTCTTTTCTCTCTTCCACACTGCTACTTTTTTATATTGCTGCGACTTCCTTTTCATTTTGTTTACTGCGATGTCTTCATCTACCCTTCATGGCTTCGCATGGAACAACAACCGTTGTATGAAACACAACAATAAACTACAACACAAATGAGTAGTTGCACTTCAGTCGACGCCTCTCTTCCCCACGACCTTTTCGCCCCAGAACTCCCTTTTTTCTTTTTCTCACCTACAGTCGTCATCATGGCCACTCCCCGCAGCGCTAAGAAGGCTTCCCGCAAGTCGGGCTCGAAGTCCGCCAAGGCCGGTCTGATCTTCCCGGTCGGCCGCGTCGGCTCGATCCTGCGCCGCGGCCAGTACGCGCGCCGCATCGGTGCCGCCGGTGCGGTGTACATGGCGGCGGTGGTGGAGTACCTGACCGCTGAGCTGCTGGAGCTTTCCGTGAAGGCCGCTGCGCAGAGCGGCAAGAAGCCACGCCGCCTGAGCCCGCGCACCGTGACGATGGCCGTGCGCCACGACGACGACATCGGTTCTCTGCTGAAGAACGTGACGGTGTCGCGCGGTGGCGTTGTGCCGAGCATCAACAAGGCGATCGCGAAGAAGAAGAGCGGCAAGAAGAGCAAGGCCACGCCGAGCGCCTAAGCGGTTTTTACGTGCGTGCTTTTTATTACGCTCGCCTACCTACTCCTCTCGCACGTGCTGTGGGTGTGTGCGCGGTGCGTACCACCTACACAATGCACCTCATAGATACACTTATTTCTCTGTTTGTTATATATTTCTGGCATTTCTTCTCATCTGACATCTCTCTTTCAGGCAAATGGTGGTGGTAGGTCTCCGCGGAAAAAAGATGTTAGAACCAAATCCAGAAGTTCATTGGACTCTCTTGTTGACCTCTGTTCTTGCTCGCCTTCTTTTACAAGCGATGAAGGCCTGAGCGAGTCTTGAGAACGGCCGTGATTCGAAGTCACCAGGGGCCTGCTTTTCACCGTTGTCGTCTGTCGGGAAGCATCCCATGCAATGCACCTCCGTTTTCTTGAGTGGTTACTCCCTGGTGCAAAACTCACATGCACACGCATGCAAGCAGAGAACTCTCCCCACCTCTCTCATTCAGTCTTACTGTTTCCTTCCTCTCTTTTCCCTCTGCGCCTGAGTAAAAGACATCATCCGCATTGCCTTGCTGTCGTCACTCGAACCCGCGTGGAGAGCACACGCGGCTGCATCGCTCGATCGAAACGAAGCCAAGGCTTCTGTGTCGCTTGCAGCGTCCACCGCCTTTTTTTGTTTCTCTTTTTTCTGCAGAGTTGGCGTCCACCCACTTCCCCCTCAGACTCTTATTGTTGTTGTGATTGTTGCTGCTCGACAGAGTAGGTGTACCATGAACGACCTCTGCGGTGCAGCGACGTCGTCGGACGCGTGGGACGATGACGGCGTCGCATCGGCAAGTAGCAGCGATGCAGATGCAGAGGAGGCCGACGACGATGCGGCAGGCGCTTCGGCCGATGCCGAGGTCACGGCCCTGTGTTGGAGTGGGGCCAGCGTCGGCGTGGCGCGGTACCTTTGCGCGGAGTGTCGCATCGAGGTCTTCGAAGCACCGGTTTACGTCGTGGCTGGAGAGGCGGTGCGTCGTCGCACGACCGGGTTTCCTTCTGCTCGTGCTTCGTCTTCGTCTTTTCATCGTCGCGGCGACGGCGGGGGTGGAAGTGAGGGGGAAGTCCGCATTTTGGTGTACGAGGACATCCCACCCAGTCTTCTCTGGCTTGTCCGCTACTTTGAGGTGCACCGCCCGCTGGTGCTGCTGCCCCACACAGGAAGTGACGCCCTCAGCGACGTGGTGGGTCTCCTCGCAGCCCGTCTACCGCTGGAGGTGAGTCGTCTCAGCGCGACGAGCGCCTTCAACGCGGCGGAGGCGCTACCCCGACTGGCCACGATGTACCCCGCAAAGGAGGCGGAGCTGGCGAATCGCTTTCACGCGCAGAACACCGCCATGATGCGGGCCATGGCGGCGCTGCTGCAGTTTGTTGCCGCTGGCCAGTCGAACGTCGCGGACGTGGTGGAGCGCGGCGTCCCGCACGCCCTCTATCTCGAGGACACCTGTGCGGAGGCGCTACAGATTACGCGGGCGGAGTTGCACCCAAGCAGTGCGCAGGGCCGCGGGCGTGCAAAGGAGGGGCTGTCACTCCGCGGTCTCCTCAGCACGGCGCAGAGCTCCTTGGGGAGGGCGATGTTGCGACAGTGGATTGCTCTGCCCTGCTGCGACCTCGCTGAAATCGAAGCCCGGCAGTCCGTCGTCGCGTTCTTTGTGCACGTCGAGCATCACGGGATCGCCACGCAGCTGCGCACGGCCTTGCACCACGTGCGCTCCACCTCACATATCTTTACCACGATGCGGTCGGGGCGGGCGTTGCGGAAGCACTACGTCTCCCTCTATCGAACAATCCGTGGCGTGGTGCAGGTGCAGCGGCTGCTGTCCACCGTGGCGCACGAAGTGGGCCGACTTTATGTGCTGTGGCAGAGCATTGCGGCGGAGCCGTTGGTAGGGATGGCGGAGGCGTTAGCTCGCACCATCGTAGGCGTGACGGCGCCGCGGGCTACAATTCAGAATCGTGTTTCGGAGGGGTCTCCGATGATCGACCCCGTCAACTTGGCAGGTTGTGGCAACGGGACAGTGCGCATTCACGATGGCGTCGATGCGGTGCTGGATGAACTGCGTCTCCGTCTCCACGAACTTCGACTTTCCCTCCAATCCAAAGCTGAGGATGCTTTTGAGCTGCTTCCGTGGGAGCTGCGAGCACGGCTGTCCTTGCGCTGCGTGTACGCGGTGCCGCACGGATATCTGCTGTGTGTGCCGGCAGCAGATCTCATCGTGGTCGTACGCGAGTACGTGCTGGCGGACGTGCCGGAGACACCAGAGGAGCGAAACGCGGAATCGCAAAATGATGCCACGAGGCTCTCCGATCCAGAGGAAGGCTCCGATGGCGAGGCCGACCCGGTCTCCGATGCAGATGGCACAGCCTCCCCCCCTGCAGCGAATTACCGCACTCCAGATACAGCTGCCACCAGCAGCGTCACCGCACGAGCGCACGTCTGCCGCTTTATGCTGGACGCCTTCCAGTGGCAGTTCCACCACGAAACCCAATCCGGCGAGTACTGCTTCAAGTCTGCTGCTATGGAGGAGCTCGACACGTGGGTTGGCGACCTGCAGCGACGTGTGCAGCAGCGAGAGCAGCAGGTGCGACGGGAGCTCGACACAGCGCTGCTGTACAGCTCCCTTCACCTGCTGCGACCCACGCGCGCGCTTGGTGAGCTGGACTGCCTCTTGAGTTTTGCGCGCGTGTCTGCGCAAGAAGGGTGGTGCAGGCCGGAGATGCTGGTGCCAGAAAGCCGATCGTCGTCTCCAGAAAGAAAAGAAGAAAGGGAAGAGGCAGCCGCCATGAATAAAGTCGACGAAGGCCACAGCGAAGAGGAGGAGGAAGAAGGTGTGTTGGAGATCGCTAACGGTTGGCACCCACTGCTCTCTCGTCAGCTGGGCCTGCAGCAGCTTGTGCCCTTTTCGCTGCATCTTCGCACGTCCACGGATCGAGTCTGCTTAGTATTGGGCGTCAATGGTAGCGGTAAGTCGGTGCTCATGAACGCAGTGGCACACATTGTGTTCTTGGCACACGTGGGCTGCCACGTGCCCGCGGCGGCAGCTCGAATGAGTCTGGTCAACGGCATCTTTGCTCCGTCTTCGTTGTGTGTCTCACCTTTCGGGGCACACGCTGCATTGACATCTACCTGGAGCGGACCGTTCAGCTACCATCGTGGCTACGGCAGCCAAACAGGAGAAGAAGGGACTGGTGCTGTCGCTGCGTCGGAGGCAGAGGCGGCGCAGAGCAGCTTCTACGGCGAGTGTGTGGCCCTGCACCGCGTGCTGCACCACGTTGCCGGTCAGCAACGCGCAGCAGCAACAGCAGCAGCGGGGCAGTCTGTGCGCTGCGCCGATCCCACGGCAGGACGTGCACTGGTGCTGCTGGACGAATTTGGTCGTGGCACCGCACCGGAGGATGGGTGTGCGTTGCTGAAGGGGACGCTGCGGTACTTCGCGACGGGCGGAGGTGCGAGTGACACTGCGGCGGCGTCCTGCAGCCAATGGCGACGGGCCCCACTTGTGCTGTGCGCCACGCACCTCCTGGAGATGCTGGAGTCATCGTCTCCTGCTCGCGCATCGTCGAGCGGGACTGCGCCAGACGCAGCCGTTGGCGAGGGTAATGCGACGATCAACAGTGGCGAGGGGGACGCAGCCTGGACCGACCGGCTGCGGCGAAGCGCGCCGTCACAGGCGATGCCATCTTTTATCGCTCCAGAGAAGGATGCACCTCTGCCGCTGCCGTGGATCAAAGTCTACACCATGGAAACGCTCACGACGTACGCACCGGAAGACGGGTCACAAGGCACAACGTGTGAAAATGAAAATACTGTCGAGTGTGCGCAGGAGACCTACTGCGCTGATGTGGAGGCGTCTGCGCCTCGACGGCTGCCCGTGGATCTCACACCGACGTACCATCCCGTGTGTATCACACCGCACACTAGCCATCGCAGGTGGGAGGACTGGCAGCGCCACGCTGGCGCACACTTGGATGCCGGACCTGCGCTAGGGCGGCAATGTGGGCTAGACTCGGAGCTGCTGGCGTGCTGGGAATCCGCGTTGCGTGTGCTGCGCAGCTCCCATTGACCGGGCCCGAAGTGTGTTTGTGTGGGTCGGGAAGAGGGGATTGGTTAGCTTTGCAGGTTGTTGTTCGTTTCCACAATTTCCGCTGTGCTGCTTCTCTGCTATTTGTAAACCAAAAACCTTTTTTGTTTTTCAACGGTATGTGAGTTGACGAAGCTGCAGTACATTCCAGCAGCAACTCAAAACCAAAAATGGAACCTCGCACATGTTTCTCCTCAGAGAAGGAGAACCGCCATCGCGTGGAGCATAACAACGGCAGCCAAATAATAATAAAAAAAAGAGAGAGAGAGAGCGCCGACCTATTTGCACTGGGGTTGGTTACACGTCCAACGTACCCTGATAGGGTAGCTGCCTCGTCACCTTGTTCTTTTCCTCCGCATTTTCTCTTCTCTCTCTCTCCTGGACGATGCGCGTTGCGTAAAGCTGGTTTTTGTCAGCCTCTTTTGCTTCTTTGCGTGCTCATTGACCTCCGAAAGGCAGAGGAGTTTTCAAAAAGGAAGAAAGAGGATGGGAGCAATTCACAAATCAAATTCACTCATCTAGTTTTTTTTTTTCTGTTCTGAACATAAATCTGACGTGGCTTTCGCTATGCCCTTGCTCACACGCGCCGCTGCCACCACTGAGTCGGCCGCCGCGTCACCGCAGCCCATCTCCACCCTCCCTTCCGCCTCCGTCAGCAGCTCAAGTGCCGCCACCCGCTCGCAATGGAGCAAAACGTTTGCCAACGGCGACAGCTACAGCGGCGAGGCCCTGCACGTGCACGACAAGAATCAAAAACCGGTCAAAGACGGCAAAGGACGCTACGCTTGGGCCTCGAGTGGGGCCGTGTATGAAGGGGAGTGGAAGCTGGGCCGCCCGCACGGGCACGGCGTCATGACGGTGCCCGGCAAAGACGGCTACGAGTACACCGGCGACTTCGTGGAAGGGCAGCGCTGCGGTCGGGGGCGGTGCTCTTTCGCCAACGGCCGCACCTTCGACGGTGAGTGGAAGGGGGACGAGATGAACGGCGTCGGCACCGTGCGCGGCGCCCCCGGCGTGGACGACTACGAAGAGTACTCAGGTCACTTCAAGGTTGGCAAGCGAAGCGGCCCCGACGGGAAGTGTGTGTACTTCAACGGCGACGTCTACGAAGGCGCCTGGCTTGCAGGGAAGCGGCAGGGAATGGGCGAGTGGCAGCTGCATCGGCAGTCGTCATCGCTCGCGGTGGCGCCGGTGCGCTACAAAGGGCCGTTTGACAACGACGTCCCGCACACGAGTGGGTCGGCACAGGCGGAGGTGGACTACTCGGACGGCAGCAGCTACCTCGGCGCGGTGAATGCGCAGCTGCGGCGGCACGGCAGCGGGGTGCACCGCCTCACCAGCGGCGATGTCTTTGAGGGCGTCTTTGCGCAGGACCAACGCGAGGGTCACGGGACTCTCCAAGGGAGTGACGGGATGATCTGTGAAGGTACGTGGCATCGTGGTCAGCTGGATGGAGAGGTACGGGTGACCTTCAGTTCTCCCCAAGGTGTGGGAGCAAGGGCTAGCACGGGCACGAGAGCACTCGGGGCAGCTCACGATGTGACGTCTGACGTACGCAACTTGTACCAGCTTTGTAGGGGTCCTTATCCGCTGAAGTCCTACGAGGGCCCCTGCACAGCGGGGGTGCTCACTGGCGGCTCTGCCTCGATCCTTTATGTTGACGGCAGCAGCTACTGTGGTGCGGTGCGCAACGGTCTGCCACACGGAGCCGGCGTCCTGCGCGACCGACCTTTCCCGTACAACGCTGACGACGATCACGCGGACAGCAAAGAAAGACCGCGGCGGCGCATCTCCGTAGCCTGTATCCCGCCCGCGGTGTCGATGACGTTGGTGAGCTACGATGGTACGTTTGCCGCTGGCGAGCCGGATGGCACCGGCACGGCAGAGTGGCAGGTGTCGACGGCAGCTGCGGCGGTGTCTGGGTCGCCGACTGCGGTGCGGGCGACGCCCTTCAACTTCAGTGAACTGCTTGCCAAGGGTGTCCAGTGGTGGAAGACGTCAGTGTACGCTGTCGTTGACGGGACGTACACAGGTCAGTGGTTGCGTGGGCTGCCACATGGGCAGGGGGCATGGCAGTGGGCCGACGGCTCCAGCTACACGGGGGAGGTGGCCTTCTACCTGCCCTCTGGTCAAGGCACGTACTCTAGTTCTTTAGTGCAGTACACCGGAGAGTTCAAAGACGGCCAGCCGCACGGAAAGGGCGCGTGGGAGGACACGTCGCAGAATATTTCCTATGACGGTGAATGGTCGGCTGGAAAACCCGACGAAAAGGGCGTGTGCTCCGCGATGGTGGAAAGCGGCAACAGCACCAGCGGTGGCGCGGTGCGGCCGCCTACTTCCACGAGTGCGTCTGTCACGTCACCGTGTGCGACGGTGTACGAAGGCGCCTGGAAAAACGGCAAGCCCTCTGGACAAGGGCGAACGTACGCCAGCGCAGACCGTCAACGGGTGGTGTACGACGGTCACTACGTCGACGGGTGCTGCGAGGGCGAGGGCACGCTCTACTTCGGCTCCGTGCGACGGGGCAGCATCAACATGGAAGCTGCGACGGTCGCCGTGCACGCGTACGCGCAGTACCGCGGTGTCTTCCACAACGGACAGCCCGGCGGCGGCCCCGGCTGTCTCACGTTAAAAAACAGCACCACGGTTGAAGGTGCGTTCGACGCGGATCTGCGGCCGTCTCGTGAGGCGACGATTACGGTGCAGCCGCACAGCGAAGCGTGGACGTTCACCGGCACGTTTGACGCCACCACACGTCGGGGCCACGGCACGATGAAGTTCCCGAATGGCGACGTGTACACGGGTGAGGTGGAGGATGCGTCGGCCGATGTTCCATCGGGGCAGCAGCACCAGCAGTCACCACAACAGCCGATCCTGTACAACCTGCAGCGACATGGACAGGGCGTATATGCGTTTGTCGAAGGCAACCAGCTGCGGTGTACGTGGCGACACAATGTCCTCCACGGCGCGGGCGTGTACACGAGCGCCGACGGCGTCAAAACGGAGCGGACGTACGCGGACGGCGTGCTGGTGAACGACATCGTTGGGTCCACCGTCGGCGCCTCCGGCGGTCTGAGTTCCGTGGGCACTGGCGGGCCCTTTGGCAACGTCTTCACCCCTGAAAATGAGTTCCCCAACACGCTCTCCGAGGAAGCCCTGAAGTCCTGCTTGCCGGACCTCCCACCGCAGTCCCAACCACAGCAACAGCCGCAACAACGTAAGCGCACACCGTTCCAATTTGTGCGGCGCGGCGAGGCCCGTCAGGCGTCCACAGCAGGCGCCGCCGCCGCCACTACCACACCGCCGCCTTCCTTGTCGTCGCGTCGCAGCGCTGCCGCAGCTGCCGACGGCGGTGGCACCAACACCAGTAAAAGCCGCGAGCGATCGCCACCCGCGCCGTCTCTCTCGTCAGAGTCGGCGGGTCCGCAAAGGCAGCCGCAGGGCGCCATGCCTCGACGAGGTAGTTCCCCGCCTACTTCCAGCAGCGCTGTGAACAGTGGCGGTGTCGGTGGGGGTACGCCGTCCACCAGCAACCGCAGGGCAAGCGATGCTGCTACACGGGACAGCAATGCACGCTCGCCTACCCGCGGGACTGCATCGACGGCTGCTGCGGCTGTGGGACACAAATACAGCCTGCGACGGCGCCCCGTCAGCACCAGTAGGAAGAGCCCAGGCGGGTCTTCGCCTTCCTCTTCTTCCGTTGCTGCCGGCAGCGAGCAGGCTGACGCTAAAGCGCAGAACAACAGCGCATCAAAAAGGGCGCCCTCGCCATCGTCGAAGTCGATGTATGTAAACCGCTTTCAGGCCGGTATTTGCCATCTGGATAACGAGCCCCCGCGCTCACCGTCGCCGTCCTCTAGCAGATCCGGCGTCGCCTCATCGACGGTAGACAGCGCTGCAAAGGGCACGTCGCTCTCCGTCAACACGCCTGCGCCGAAAGGTGGTCCGCTGCGTCGCCGCTTGGGCTCTGCCTTGGCAGCTGGCCGCGATCAACAGGAGCAGTTCCCATCACGTCGCAAACCGGCGCCCGGGTCTCTTCACGGCTCTCTAAAGGAAATGATGAAGACGGCGTGCACCATCCGCAACAGCCGCGAGGATGAGATCCACCTCTTGACGGAGGAGATGCGGCAGCTAAATGAGCGCATTTGGCAACTTCGCTTTGTCATCGCAAACGATGCCGGCAGTGGGGGTGGGGGTGGTGGGCAAGCAGCGACGGCGGCAGCGCCGTCGACACGCAGCCCTCCTTCACCGGTGCGGCGATCCTCGAAGAACGGGGCTGGGGTGAAGGGGTGGGACACGGAGTCACCTGCGTCGCGGACGCAGCGACTTGCGGCGCTGGTACAGGAGCGGCGCGTTATCATGGAGAAGTTACAATATGTGGTGAACACTCCTGAATAGCCGCGCTATTTTGTTTTTTCTCTCTTTCTTCTTGTTGTTGCTGCGATTTCCAACGTGCTTTTCCTCTTTTCTATTTTTGCCTTTGCTCTTTGCTTCTTCTCAAGCCATCGATGTAACGTAGGCTCCTCTTGTGTGCCACCTTCTTCATTTCCATTTTTTCTTCTTCTTACTATGGTTCCTTGTGTGTATCCTTCACGTTCTCTCTTTCTCTCTCTTGGCGTGGGACTTCGCCGATCTCGTTCTCGTCCTCTCTCTCCCTCTTTTGCTGTCAAGAAATTCGCATTTCATCCACAAAAAAACAGTCGATCTACGCCAAGGAGAAGATTTTTGTTCCTCTACAACAACAGAAGAAGCAACAACGCCTCTACACGGGATGCACCTTGATTATCCCTTTCCGTGTCGGTGAGCCCTATTAAACGCTAGGCGCGATGCGTCTCGATGCGTGTACGTGCATGTGCGTGATGCGTCCCTGCTTCGCCACGGACAAAGCTAGCCGCTCCTTCTCACGCAATCGTAGCCGAGTATATAAGAGTATAGATCTGCTAATGAACATGTCCACTTTGACCCTTTTTTTTTTAACGGCGTGTGTGCCGCACCTCGGTACACGTGTAATATCGGATCAAGAGAGAAGCATCACACCACCTTCCTTGTCGCTTTTCTCCTTTCTGCCGTTGCCCCCAACTGCTTGTTTTTCTTTTTGTTTCTGTGTGCGCGCCGAAAGCACGCTGACACGTTAGCCGGAGAAGAAAGGCACGCTTGAAATTGTGCGCTTCGCATGGGAATCGCACTGCAGAGAACGTGTTATACCGACATATTTGTGTCACGAGAGACCCGCCGTTTCGGCGAAATATATATCCCACTTTATAAAACTGGGTGACTTTTTATCTCGTTATCAGCAGACCTCTTTGTTAGTATTATTATCTTACTGTTACACTACCCCTAGCTACTTTTCTTTCTACTATCTGTCACAATACCTCGTAAAGCGTTGTGATTATTCTTGTAAGACACGTAGACAAGAATCGTAATTTATCTATCTATATATATATATCTAGATATAGGCAGCGATGTTTCGTCGTGCAACCAGCCAGGTCGTGGCGGCCCACCTGTGCCGCAGCGCGTTGCCTGCCATGGCAGCGAGGCGGGAGCTGAGCGAAGGCCGTCGCACCGGCGTCGTCATTGGCAACCCTAATCAAGGCATGATTGAGCCTATCCACGTGAACTGGACCGACATCGCGGGTTCGGACAACACACCCGGCGCCCGGCTCGCTGCAGGGCGTGTGCTGGCGATGCTAGACATGTGTGCGGCGCGTGCCTCGCAGAAGGCAGCCGACCTCCAGTCAAAAGACACGGGCAAGAAGATTCTCACCTGCACTGTGGGCGTCACCAACACCATGTTCTCCTCGCCGATTCTGCACGGCGATGCGGTGCGGTTGGACGGGCGTGTCGTGCACTGCGGGTCCAGCTCCATGGGCGTTTACATCCGCTTCTTTCGCCTCTCGCCGTCCACGCGTACCGAGACGCCTGCCGGGGAGTCCTTCTTCACCATGTGCACCATCACTCCCGATTTGAAGGCGGCGAAGGTGGTGCCGGCGATGGAGCTGACGGACACGCTGGATATTGAGATGCACGACCGCTACCTGCGCATCCGCGAAATCGAGCAGGAGAACGCAGCGGACACCAAGGAGCGGATGAAGCACACGCTGACGCCCGCCGACGTGGACTGCCCTGTCAACAAGTCAAAGGCGATCCGCGCCCCCTTTCGCGCGACGCGCGTGGAGGCCAACCGCATCTTCTTCACCTCCTGCATGAACAACAACAATACGGTCTTCGGCGGCGAGCTGATGTCGTGGATGGAGCAGCACGCGGTGCACTGCGGCCGCATGTTCACCGGCAACCGCAACGTCTACACGCTCGGCATGCACAGCGTAGCGTTTGCGGAGCCGGTCTTTTCCACCGATTGGGTGACGCTGAAGGCAACGATGATCTACGTACGAAACACGACCATGGAGGTGGACGTGGTGCTGCGCGCCGAGCGGCAGGGCGGTGCTGTCGTGACGAACCGCGCGTCATTTGTTTTGATTAACAACGACGACATTGGGCAGAAGTCTGGCATCCCGCTCGGGTTGGAGTTGAACGGCGCCACGCAGGAGGAATTGCAGCAATTTGCGGAGGCCCGTGTGCGCTATCAGCGGAGTGTGGACCAGCGGGACGCTTTTTACGCCAACGTGTCTCGGACGGGTACGACAAAGCTGTGAAGGGAAGAATACAATGCCTCACAGATGAAGGTGCGCTGAGGATACTTTGGTTTTTGGCGATGAGGTTATCATCCAAAAATTTTTTTCCTGGCTTTCTTTCTTTTTTCTGTTATTGCTGGCATTGTACTTAGTTGCGTTTAATTCGTACAGGCTTAATGCGTCAGTGATGTAACCTGCGACTGGGCGATGTGGCCTCGGCTCGGTCTAGTAAATGCGATGAAAAGATGTATCTGTCAAGTATGGATGGCTCACCTTGTTTACTTTTCGATAGACCTTATTGTCTACAAAGTATTGCCGGGCACCGTTTTTGTTTTTTCCCCTCCCTTTGGTGGTGTGGCCGTCTAATCCCTATCCGGAGGTGTTATGCGTTCTCTTCCTTTATTTTTAAATATTTTTCTTTCGATATTTATCAATTTTTTGCATTGCTTTTCCTTTCTCATGAGAAGCCGTTCTCTAAGAGTCGACGTGCGTCCCTGCGGAAAGAAGGAAAAGAAAAGAAAAACGCAGCTTTGTTTTTGAGTGTTGTTATTAGTCGGCTGTTTTCAATGGCTGCTCCTCTCAGCCCTCGTTAATATGCGACGTTTTGAATTACAATGCGTAGGTCCATCTCACGCACCGTGATGCCGATCATTCTTGCTGTTGCAGTAGCTGCGCCTACAAGGAGAGGCGGTATCCTTTTTTTTTTACTCTTGCTTACTAATCGTGTTTTCTTCTGCGCAAGACGCAAAAAAAGTAAGGAAACCTCCAAGCTCTGCTTCTCGTTTTCTCGCCCTTTTTTATTCTTATTCCTTAAACGTATCACGGTGCACTCACGTAGCCTACACGGCAACAACCGGTCTCGTTAGTGGCATGAAAAAATGGATAAATGCTGGATTTTTTTCCTTAAAGGAGGTTCACGATGTTTTCATACTAATTGCTCTTCGCTGATGTCAACGTAGGTGGTGCGATTAAAAAAATAAAATAAAACGTAAGCACTCCGCAACAGAATTAAATCTCACTTTGACGGACGCAGTTGCGGCGCAGTTCTACTTCGGGGATGGCCGAGCGGATTGCCCATCGCTCTTCAACCTCGTATGGCAAGCCTCAACGAAGGCCACGCGTACGAAACCGAAAGAGACTATTTGAACATGAAGGCCCCCTCAAAAAAAAAGACAATTTATCCCGTGTCTTTATTATTTACTAACGCTGCTCTTTTAGTTACCAAAAAAAAGGGCTTTATGATGGGGAAAAAATGCACTTTCCTTTCTGTATCTCAGCGTCTTTCATCTGCCTCCACCGCTCCATTACCTCAACCTGCTCTGCACGTGGGCGCACATACATATGTGTACCTACAGCCTTTACCCGGTGAAAGTGTTTTCTCTACTCCGCCAATTTGTATCACGCACAAACGTACATGGTGTGTGCGCTTTCTTTTTGTTTTTAAAAGATCCTCGACATTGAGTGTGTTGCATTGCTATTATTACTATTAATTGCGCCGCGCCGTATCTTTTAGCTCACCTCTTCTTCTTTTCTTCTTCTTTTATTTCTCTCTTGCTGTTGGTGCTCACTAAAATTCAGTTTTCCTATCGGGTTTTTAAAATTATTTGTTGCTCTTTGCTTCTTTTCGCGCCCCTTTGTAAACAAAACCTCGCCGATTCTCACCTTCATACCGAGGCCCGTGACGGCGCTTTTGTATTCGCCGAGGTTGTTGGATATATATTTTTTATCACTGGGTGATTTGAGCTGCATATGCGTATATGTATATTCAGGGCTGCTTACCTTCCCTTTACTTCTCCTCTTGCTTCTTCCCTTGTCAAGGACCGAAAGCGTGTGCTTGGATTTTGGGTGGCGATTGATACAACCGTTTTTTGTTTGTCTGTTTGACGGCCCACATTCCTCTGCATCTTTTTCCCTTTCGCTCGAGGAGACCCCGCACCTCCTTTGTTATTTGCTCTTTCCATCTTTCGCTTGCATGTCAACCCTACGCAACGGGGTTCGGCGAGGTATCGGGTACACGTGCCAGGTAGACGCTTCACTGCTTGAATCCTCTTTGTTTGCGTGCTGGTTGGTTTCTCTTCCAACCCTGACTCGTTAAGCACAATACGTCAGTCGCGAAGCTTGTTTTATATATAAAGAGAAAAGGACAAGAATGCTCCGCTTCAGTCGCGCAATAAAGAGTTGCCAGGTGGTCCCTGTGCAAGGAACGCTGCGGCGCGCGTTGGGCCAACGTTGTACCACTGCGCTGCCAACCGTCAGCGCGGTTACCGCCAGAAACAGCGCCGCACAAATCGGCGCGACGCCCGCCATTCAAACTCCTCAGCGGACACTGTTCTCGTCGGCGCATGGGAAGGACGCAAAGCTAGTTGCCCCACTGGAGTACGAAACCGGAGGCGAGGGTCTCGTGGTGGGGAACGCGAAGTTGGGTATTCGCTCCAACACGCTGACGGCGTACGAGCGCTCCGACTTTCTTGGTGACCTCTACCCCCTCATCCGCCCACGTGCGGATGCGGGCGATATCCTCGCCCTCATCGACACCTCTGCCGGACACGCCGCCTTCACCCATATAAGCGGGCGCGTCTACGGAGGGAGCTTCGTGTTCAACGACAACCGCATCTCCATGGCCACCATCGCCTTCAACGCCTTCGTGTTCAGCAAGCCCGTCTTTCAAGGCGATTTGATCCAGGTCAGCACACACGTCATTCACGCCGGATCGAGCTCGATTGGCGTCCACGTGCACGTGAACCGGCAGGCGTACGACACCCCGGTGCCAGAGACAGTGGGCGAGAGCTACCTGACAATGGTCATCGTCAACGCGAGGACGCTGCGGGTGGCGCCGGGCCACGTCCCTGCGGTGCGACTCACCGCCCCGTTCGGTGAGGAGCACCACCGCGAGTACCTTGAGCTTCGCGAGGGGGCGAAGGAGCTGACAAAGTTTCACTCCGACCGCACCCTCACGAAAGAGGAGGTCGAGCTCCCCGAGAACCAGGCGAAGAAGCGCAAGCTGAAGCCGGCGGACTGCATTTGTACGATGGACCGTAGCTTCGGCGTGGCGGACGTCAACGTGAACAAGGCCATCTTTGGTGGAGAGGTGTTACGGTTCATGGAGAAGTGCGCGCTGCACTGCGGCCGCGTCTTTGCTCGTCAGGCGCGCCTCTACACGCTGGGCATGATGGACATGACCTTTGACGACCCGCTCTTCATCTACGACCTTGCGCGGTGCAAGGCGCAGGTGACCTGTGTGCGGCGCTCCTCCCTGCTGGTGAGCGTGCGTGTCACCGCGTTGGACGGGGAGGGGCGGGAGCGCTTCACGAACCGCGCCTCCTTCATTCTTGTGGCCATCGACTCCGTCGGCAAACCTTTTGAGATTGAAAACGGTATTGACCTGGATGGCGCCACGCAGAAGGAGCTGCTCGCCTACTCGCACAGCTGCCGGCTGATGCGGTCGGCGAACTCGCGGCGAAAGGCTGGTACACGCAGAGAAAGGAAGAAAGGCGAGGGCTTGTGAAGCCGTTATTGCTTCTTTTGGGGGTATGTGTGAGGAAAAGAAAAAATAGTTAACATAAACATGATGTTGAGCTAATCAGCTCGTTTTTGATTCAGCTTCCCTCTCACATGTAGTTTTCTTTATCCGCTGGCGTATACAACTGCGTCTTTCAAGGAGGAAAGCCTTTCCTTTGTAGTGAGTTTTCTTCTCTATATGTTGGTATATATATATTTTCAATAGCTGCCTCTTGCTTTCTTGTAAGACAAAGTTATTCCTTTTCATGCGTTCTCTTTTTTCTTCGCTAAACGCATGTCTCTGCGGCTGCGCCATTGCTGTTGTCCTCCACCGTCAGCCGTCACCTTCGCCTCCAAAAAAAAAGCGTCGCTGCGGAGAGCGAGGGAGGCGGAGAGACAACGAGAACGGGAACGAGAAGATGTGGCGAAAGAAAGAAAGCTGTTTGAATGCTTGTATCGTACGTGTGACGGATCCCCTCTTACTTTATCATCTATTTATTTACCTGCGACGTACGGCACCACATCGGATTCGTGCCTTATCCAGAATACGTCTCGTGTGAAGGTCGAGTTTACAAGACATTTGCAAGCGCTTCGACTCCCTCTCCCTCTCTTTGAGGGTTTTGTTCTGCAACAGGAATAATACGAGAGGGAATAAGAATAAGAGGAGGAAAAGAAGCTGCGGAAGCTCTCGCTTGTGTTTGGGGTTTACTCATCTCCTCCCTTTTTACGACTGATATGCAACGCTCTCTAGTACGATTGTTCGAGTGATCCAGTAAAGAGATTTAAAAGCGGAAAGCTACCCTTTCTTTCGCCTCCCCTTTCTTGCCTTTTTTTTTCTCCTGAGGCTAGGCTTAGGAGTGCTCTTCGCTGCTCAGGGCGTTCGTCGGTGAACAAGCGCAACACTATCAAAAAGGTAATACACGTCTAGTCTAATTCTAACATCAGCTGCTGGATCTCTATAACAAGTAGATCGGTGAATAATGTCGGTGCTCACCTCCGTTGAGATTTCGCCTGCTTCCATTGCGGCTGAGAAGGCAAAGCTCACCGCAACGCATCAACGCCTGGAGAGCTTGACGGCGCAGCTCACACAGTTGCAAGAGGAAGTAAAAAAGGTGCGCGATGAGGAGAGGAATCTGTCAGCTAGTGTGCGTTGGCGCGAGCTGATGGCGGCTGTGAACGAGGACGACGCGGTATACGGTATCACGGAGCGTCTGACTGACGCCTTCACCGCTTTCCACGAGTCGCTGGTGGAGCCGGAGGGCTACATGCAGAACCAACGTGATGAGGCCCAGTCGGGAGAGAACATCGTACAGTACAGTGACACGGACGACTACGCCGACTTCAGCGGGGTCGAGGCGGTGGTGGAGGATGTACTGGCCGTAGCGAAGGAGTCTCTGGAGACGCACTCGGCCGATCCGACCATCCGGTCTAGCAACCGCAGCTCCCCCGCGGGCTCCCTCACGCACCGCGCCAAGTCAAATCGAGCCTCGGCAGAGTCGGAGGAGGACTTTGTATGGAACGCGGCCGCACGTCGGCAAGCGTTGTTGCAGCTGCTCGTGGTGTCCGTCCTCATGGGCAAGGTGGAGCAGCACTGCCGTTTCGATTCCATCCGCGACCCGTCTGATGCACCGCGCACCGACGCCGAGGAGCTGCGGGACGGCGTGGCGGCGGTCTGGCAGTGGCTCTTCTACGAGCAGCCGACGATGCTGACGGCGGCGGAGAGAAAGGAGTGGATGGACATCGCCGGCACGTTTCTCGGTGAGGCGTACACGGCGACGCCGTAGACAAGAAAAAGAGCAGGAAGGAGCGTTCGTTGCGCGAAGGCTGCCCCTCTCTCTCTCCAATCCCACCTGCATGCGCCGTTTTTTTTTCTTTCCGGCGCTTTATATCACCCTGATAGGACGGAAACGCCTTTGTCTTATAAAAAGGTGAAGTCGACGTCTGTTTTAGACTCGACTATTCTTTTGCTTCCCTTCGCCGACCACAAGGCCGCCCTCCTTTGCGGCACTGTGACGTTCGAATTCATTTCGTCGGGGCGAGGCCTTTACATGTGTGTGTGCGTGTATGTGCCACTTACCGAAATCCGCGTTTCTTGCCCTTTTTTTTTTCGGTATTCTGCGTGAAATGGGCTGTTCGCTTTCCATTTATTATTATTATTGTTACTTCAATGCGGCCAGCCAATCTGTTGTTGCTGCGATCTGTTCTCATCCAACTTCGAAAAAAGAATTTAACAAAATATTCAATGTGCTTCCTTTTCCAGGACCCTCTTCTCTCTCTTTCTCTCGGAAGACGCGAAATCATTGAAAGGGCTTGACGGTTCGCCTTACTCGGTCGTGAATGAAAGCTGTTTCGCGAAACGCTACGACACGCGGGGCAATCGGTGGTCAGCTTTCACGTGGGACTTTTGCTGCTCTCTTGCCTGCATCTACTCCGCACTTCGATTTTAAACGAGAAAAGCGAACCAAAAAAAGTAAGCCAATATGATTTACTCCGTTGATGCTAACAAATACCAAAGCCTTTTGTTTACGATGTTGTTGCTTCGTATTCTTCTTTCTTCCCTTTTTTTTTTTGAATTGCCTCTTCGCTTCCAATGCACTCCTATTACGCTCGTTTCCACCCGCACGCCCATATATATTCCGTATCCTTGTTATCGCTTACACCGTCTCGTGCACACAGCTGCGGTGCAATACAGCACTATTTTAGCGCTTCACACACATTGCACGGGAGAGATAATAAATAAAAAAAAGGTAGCTACTTTTGTTTTTCTCATGAACGATTAACGCGTTCTTCCTTGTACTTCTGTGGCCCCAACACGTATAATTAGTCGGTAACTATAATAGGACTCCAGCACGGCCAATCGCACGAAAACCGCAAAGAAACCTGGTGAACGTGCTTGGCTTTGAAATCCTTTTTTCTCTCCTTTTTGATGTTACTCCATCCGCAGTACATCGTTGGTCTGCTCACTTATATATATATACATACGCTGTAGGGAGCTAAAGCTGTTGTTGCACTTCGCGGTAACGGTGTTAGCCGAAGCTTGAAAAAGACGCTTGACACTTGAACAACGAAGAAAAAACCCCGTTCTTCCTTTTACAGCGCACCTGCAATCGGTCTATATATATTTTTTTCTCTCTTCTTTCTTGGTTCATCGTGGGTGTTTGTTTCCTCTCACAATCAATTTTTGTTCTACATATTTGCGACGAGAATTCTTTCTTCTGGTTCCCCTTTTTCTTTTTCATTCCCGCCTGCGTTATTTCTTTCTTCACCGTTTCGTGTTGTTGTAATTTTACAAATACGGTGTAGCGAGACACGAAACCTGTCGCGGTTGTTTTTCTCTTCTGTCGTTGCTCTTATTGCGTGCAGCCGGTCCTTCCGTCTTCCACGGGTCCTCCGAGCAACAACCTGCACTTACAGCCCTCGTTTGCACAGCCCTCACGCACACACGCACCGCAGCATGTACGCTCGCATTTCGAATGCGCTGCTTGCGCGTGTAAACCGGGTGTCCTCTACGTACACCCGCGTCGCTTCCTTGTCACCATCGCCCGCCACCGCACCCACGGCAGCACGCGCAGCAGAGGCGCCGTACACCCTGGGTTGCGGCACCGTCGGCATCTCCACCTGGCCACCCCCATCGGTCCCCGTTATCGTGACAGACACTGTGGGGGAGCTTCAGCGTCGCACGCCTTTCCTTCTGCCGCCGCTGGTCGTCGCGTACGCTGCGTTGGATGCCGCTTCTGCCCACCCACGCCATATTCTACGTACACCGATGACGCGAAGTCCGATGTGGTGCGCGGCGACCACCCGCTCTCAACGCGGCTACGCGCTGGGCGTCACTACCTTGCACTACGCCAACAAGTCCGTTGTGTCTCCTAATGAAGACGAAAGCAATAGTGGGGATGTGGGTGCCTCACCCGACGCAGCGGCGCCGTCGGAGGTGGAGATTAGTGATAATAAGCGCAGGGCCAGCACTGAGAGAGGCAGTGCCGTATCCTCGTCGACGGAAGCAGAGTCGAGCGCCGCCGGTACCGTGGTGCTACCGGATGCGATGGTGTTTTCATTTCAAGGGAGCCCGCACGAGTTCCAAGATCGTCTGCGCGGGGCGAACGTGCTGGTGTTTTTCTATAAGCCGGTATGCGGGCCCTGTGTGGCGATTCGATCGAAGCTGATTCACGCCGTGGCGGACCGTCTACCGATGGACCCGGCCCTCTTCCGCCACGGAGGCAATGCCGCGCCGTCAGCAGCAGCACCGTCCGCAACGGCGGCTCCACCGGGTAAGGGCGATGGTGCGCAGACGGCGGGCAGCACAAGCGGCGCAGTGGATGCCGCGTCCACGCAGCTTCATGGAGAACGTGAGCCGAGAGCGTTCGTCACGCCGGCCGGTGCCGAGACCTCGATGGCGACGGAGGACAAGGCGGCGTGCGCGCTGGCGTGCCGGACGCTGGAGGACGTGTCGAAGACCTACCCGAACCGCATGATCTTCCTGACGGTGGACACGAATGAGAACGCAAAGTTGACGGCGCTGCACGACATTCGAAGTCTGCCGACGTTTTTTGCGTACAAAAACGGCCGCATGATGGGACGAGTGGAGGGGATTGACGAGCTGGAGTTGAGCAAGCTGGTGCACACTATTATGCGAGAGGGGAATGAGGCGCAGACGACCAAGCCCGCGGCGGAGATCGCTGAGGCGGCAACGAAAGGTACGCAGTAGAGGAATCGGAAATGCATGGAAAGGATGAGGCGTTTTTTTTTGGGTTTCCTCTTTTGCTTTTTGCTGTCAGCCGTGCGCGGTCTTCGAAAAGCAAGCTTACTTTCTCCCACTTTCTTCTTTTCCTCTTCAAGCGTGTTTAGCGTGTCTGCTGTGGGTGAGTCACTTGTATGTGCTTGGCGGCGTGGTGTCCTGTCGGTCTCCCTTTACGTCTCGGGGGTTTTTTTTTTCGAGTGCTGACAACCTCCAAGGTGCGCGACGGTGTGTATCGAGATCAGCGTGCACCCCGCTGCGCCTGCTGGGCGGTGGGGGGGGGGGGGGGTCGAGTGAAGTAGCGTGGTGGCTGTGGTGTCATAACCATCTTCGTCATATGGTAGAAGTCGGTTTCAAAAAGGTCCCTTTGTTCCTGAAAAGGCTTTCTGCGCCTTTTATTTGCCCATTACGGTAGCCATAAATCGTAACTCTACCACGCTGTAGAATTCAAGAAACTCCCACCAAAAGGAAGGAAGAAGCTCTCTTCTCACTATTACCATTACTATTACTATTACTATTACCATTACTATTACTATTGCTATTACTATTACGCGTCTAGTTTTTCTTCTTTGGATTGCACACATCCGCAGGCGAGTCTTGCGAGGGTGCTTTGGTGTCTAACTTCGTCTGCTGTTTCCAGTGCCGGTTCTGGCGCCCTTTGTACCCTTATTGTTTGGTCGTACTTACGGATACTTTCGGCCAGCGATTTCCGGAGTAATAGATGGATACACTATTCTGCTTCCCCATACCAGCTGGCTTTTGCTCTTTCAGGGTCGATGGTATCTGTGTGTCTATTGAGCCAGCAAGAGTGACTGAAGATGTCTTCTGCACCGCGTAGTGAGTGAGAGGAGTCGTTGGATTTCTTGTCGCCGAAATATGCCGGCTTGATTTTCGTTCTGTGTGGGGAACCGAAAAGAACAGAGTTGGGTTCGACGGCTTCCCTCTTCGCCCCTTCACTCTCCACGAACACGCGAATAGTCCCCCCACACACACACACCTGGTTTCACGGGCACATCTTTTCTTTCATGCCTCTGTTCTGCATCAATCCCCTTTCTTTTCTCTTTTTCCCCGTACGTGGCTCACTGATGCGTAAACTGAAGAAACGGCGAAAGAATTTACACAGCTACACCGCTTCTCTCTCTCAGCTATTAGAGGTCTCAGACGAGACTTCCTTCTTTCTACTAATACATATTACAATAATAATAATACACCTGCAACCTATGTTTCTCTGTCGCAACAAATGGAGTTGAATCCAGGTAGAGTAGGCAGTAGATCACGGCGATCAATACCTGTGCGCGTTGCTGATCGCGGAGCAAACTGGTCGGCTCCGCTTCTGTCGCTTCTCCTTCTCCTTCTCCTTCTAATGGGGTTCATGGGTGGCGTTAGCGCTACATCGCAGGATGGCACGAAACATGACCGTACAATGAGAATTAGCGGGCGCACATCGTCGCAGCGAGAGCGGAGAAGTCACGTTACCGGTGCGCCGCTGTCTCCACTGCAGGCGTACATATATTCGCACGCTGCATCTGTTGAAGCTCTCGTCGTCACGGCAGACTCATTCGCCGGCTCGTCCTCGACAGACGAGCCGGACATATCATCTCCATCTTCAGAAAGAGATTCTTTCAACACGAGGAGGGAAAAGCACGACAAAGAATTGCGCTCGACTCGAGCACGGCAGGTAGGCAGCGACACGCAAAGAACAATGTTTCCACTACAAAACATGGAAAAAGAACACACACGTCGCGTGATGGAATCGCCGTCGTCGTCGTCGTCTTCCACTGGCTTCATCGCCGGCTCTCGCGGTTCGGCACGTGTGGCGTCGCTCAGCGGCCGCTACGTCGTGCTCTCTAGAACCGTGGCGGCGCCAGTGCGGGGCGTGCATGGTGCGTTACGCGACAGCGTATTTCCCGTCTCTCTGCGTCGAATGACGGGTGGTGCCAACGCTAGCGACGGTGCGCTCGTCACGCCCCTTTCCGCCTCGACGCTGCCACGACAGGACAAGAAGGAGAACTCAATGAGCCCTTTTTTGTTTGCACGTCCTCGTGGAGCGGGGGTCCGATCGTCACGCGTGTTTCCGGAGGAGGCGCTTCGCCGTCTGGCAAACATAGCGAGTGCTTACCCCAGAGTGAATGTGCAGCGCGCTACAGAAACGCGTGTGCCGCTTGTCGACGGAGCGCACCGCCGCAGCGTAGAGGCTGCCGCCGTTGATGATCCCACGTCAAAGAGGCGGCAGCAGCAACTCTATCGAGACTTCGAAGCGGCGCGCTTGTCTGCGCTGGAGATCCACGTCGTTGACACCGCGCACATTCTCGTGTTTCTCCCATCCTCCGAGGAGTCCGCCACCCTCCTGCAGGCCATGGCAGACGACAGCAACGACGGCGTTACGTGGCGTGTGTGGGACGCGTTTCAGAGCGCCGAAGGCGGCCCACAGCTGAAACTTTCCGAATCGCTGCGACGGCTGGTTGAGGAAATCACTCGCGCACCCGCGGACGGATCGGCGACGTCGTTTTCCGTCTCTTCCTCCTCTTCTGTGCGGCGGCGCGAGAGCAGCGTGCCGGGGACGACGCATGAGGTGACGCTGTGGACGGCGCGAGGCAGCGCCGCAGCTGTGCACGTCGCGTTGACGAAAAGCAGCCGACTCTCGCCCTACCGCACCTCCTCACCCACGGCTACGCCGCCTTCTACGTGCCGTCTCACGATCGAGCCGGTCGAGGAAACGGCGGATGCGGTGTGGGTGCGCATTGGTGTGCTGTCACAGCCCAGTGCAGAAGACGCGATGTCGGGACTGCACAACGCCTCTCAGGAGCCAACGGCCGATGCACCGGCGCAGCAGCAGCAGCGGCATCCTGCGACGCAACGCGAAAGCTGTCTGCGTGATATTCTGATGGCCCTCGCTGCACACCCCGCGGTGCGTTGGGTGGAGGAGTCGTACCGATGGCCAGAGATGCTCAATAAGGTGGTGACGAAAGTCATCCAGCAGGGGAGCTGCGGCAGCTACTCCTCGCGAGCGAACGCCTACGCCGTCGACAACACGGAGGCGGACCGCAACGTCCCACTGTGGGATCGCGGCCTCAACGGCACCGGCGAGATCATCGCGATTGGCGACAGCGGCCTCGACACGGAGAGCTGCTACTTCCACGACCCGGCGGAGGCCATCGCCTACTACCCCCAAGTCAACCTTCGCCACCGCAAAGTGATCTCGTATCAGGCGTACGTGTCGGCCGATGGCGTGGTAGATTCGACGGACCGGCCGAAGGGACACGGCACGCACGTCGCGGGCATCGCGGCCGGCTACGTGTTGCCCACAACGTCGAGAGAGTCCACGTCGACGACGGCCCTCTACAACGGCGTCGCACCCGGCGCGAAGCTGTTCGTGCGGGATATGAACGACGGCACCAGCACCCATCTCTCTCTGCCCTCCAACTTGCAAGAGATCTTTGAGAGCGCCTACAACGTCGGGGCGCGTATCTCCTCCAATTCGTGGGGCTTCAAGACCAAGGCGAAGAGCTACCTGGCGGTGGAGAAGATGTTCGACACCACTGTGGCGGAGCGGCGCGACTTACTCATCCTCGCTGCGGCCGGAAACTCCGGCAAACAAAATGTATACGTCCCCGCACGAGCGAAGAATGTGTTGACCGTCGGCTCGCATCTCAACTCCCTTCTCTCCACACTGCAGAACACAGTGCCAGAGGGCTCGGCGTACGGCGTCACCTACGATAAGCGTCGTAAGCCGGACCTCGTCGCACCGGGCGGCGGTGGCGGTGACAAAACCACCGTCGTCTCTGCCATGGCTGGCACGGTGCCGATGTGTGCGACGACACCGTTGTACGGCACGTCGATGGCCACGGCGGCAGCGGCAGGGGCGGCGGCAGTGGTGCGACAGTACCTGCGTGAGGAGTGGAAGTTCGCCGACCCGTCTTCGGCGCTGCTGCGTGCTGCCCTCCTCCACAGCACCACTGCGCTACCGCACGTGGACCCGTTGCGCAGTGGCTTTGGCCGGCTGGACCTCTCCCACCTGCTGTCGCACAGAAATCACACCGTCGACAAGCGTCTGCCGCCGCTGGAGCAGTGGTTTGCGGATGATGCCGTGGTGCACGACGACGAGGTGCACCAATTCTGCTTCGCGCTTACTGGTTTGTCTGCCTTCCACGACAGCATCATCGGTGAAGGGATGACGGAGCAAGGCGGGAGCAGCTGCAGCTGGGAAGCCTCGCTCACCGTGACGGCGACGTTGGTGTGGAACGACCCGGGAACGGCGGTGGAGGGCTCGGTGCGGAGTCAGGTGCACGACCTGGACCTGATGCTGACGACGCCGCACGGGCACACCTTTTTCAGCGGCGCCGACGGAGTGACAAGGGAGCGGTTTAACACGGTGGAGCAGGTGCGCGTGCCCCTCTCCGGCGAGCGCAACAGCAGCAGCGCACAGGCCAATACGTCCGTAGCGGCGTGGGTGCACGGATTTCGTGTACTCGTGCGAGGGGCGGAGGTTCGCAGTACTGCGGGGCAGACCTTCGCGCTGGCGGTCACCGGTCCGGGCTTAGCGTTCGTGCCGGAGTGCTCGACGCTGTTTGAGCAGTGGCGCACGACACCCACCGCCCCCGCGGGCCGTGAAAGGGAATCCAATGCGATATCTAGTGCGTTTCCTTGTCCGATGAACTGCACGGGCCACGGCACGTGCGACATGAAGTCGCTGCTCTGCCTGTGCGAGCCGAGCTACACTTCTGTGGACTGTGCGGAGTGCAACCCGGCGGCGCTGTGCAACGGCCACGGCACGTGTGACACGGAGACGATGACCTGCACCTGCAACCCGCGCGGCCACTTCGCGGATGCGCGCTGCGCCACCTGTCAGGCAGGTTGGTACGGCCCCGACTGCGCGTCCACCTGCACTTGCCTGCACGGCGGTGTCTGCGATACGGCAACGGGGCTTTGCTCGTGTGTGCAGGACACGGCGCTCCACAGTCACGGGAAAGGCTGCTTTCAAGGGTCGGAATGCCAGTACTGCTGCGACGGCTTTGGCGGGCCGGCGTGCAACCGGCGCAGCTACTGGTGCAACACGACAGGCGAGCTGGTTGTGGTGGACGACCCGAACGGCGGCTTTATTCAAATCAACGACTTCAAGTCATACGGTTTTAGCCTCACGTGTCGGTGGGCCATTCGCGCGCAGCCGGGGCAGCAAATTCAGCTGGAGTTCATCTCCTACGATATGGTGCAGAGCGACGCCCTGTATGTGTACGACATCGTGCCGAACCCCGCCGCGGCGTCGGTGGCGCAGGCGCAGCGCCGGCAAGTCCGAAAATTGACCGGCTCCATGTCCGGTCCGCTGCCGGTGACCACGTCCACCGCCGCGCAGATGGATCTGGAATTTGTGTCGGACTGGGACAGCTCGGGGAAGGGCTTTGTTCTCTACTACCGTTTTACCTCGTGCAGTGAGAAGTGCCGACTGACGAATCTCACCGGCCCTGTGGGGCACTGGGCGTGCGGGGACACGTTTGGACTCCCGGCAAAGCAGTGCATCTGCGAGCCACCTTATGTGGGCTGGAACTGCGAAGAAGGCGCCTCGGATATTAGCCTGCTCAGCCGCGAGCTGAGTGCGCTGCAGATTGCGAACAAGCGCGCCTGGCAGGACGGCGAGCTGGCGTGGATGCTGCCGCGCTCGGTGCTAACCGCTGTTGAAGTTCGACTGCCGGTGCAGCTGACCACTACCGGCGCTGCTGCAGCCGATGGTGATACATCGGTGCCTCTCGCTGTTGCCTGGGAACGGTGGCGATCGCCGAACGTGCTCTTGCGGCAGCTGACAGTCCCCGTCGCGGGTATGGCACGACTGCCGCTGGTTGTGCACGGCTTCAGTGAAGTACAGCTGCCGCTGCTGACGCTGCCCACGCCCGCCTTTTTGGGATTGAGCAGCGCAGCGGCGGGCACAGCCTTGGGCGGCGGGGAAACGGAGAAGCGTCTCCCGGTCACGGCGCAGCTCCAGCTGCGGGTGCAACTGCAGGTGGATGCCGCGTGGCTGGACAACGACGCCAGTGCACTTGAGTTGACCCTCGGTGTCTCCGCAGCGACGGAGGTTGGGGTGGGGTCACGTGCGTCTGCCAAGGGCGACAATGGCGCCCCTTTTGTCTTCTTCAACTTCGCAAAGGATGGACGTGCGGGGGACACCACAGAAGCGGCGGCCACCGTATTCTACGGTGACACCACCACCCCTCTCTCGTTGAACGCCTTCACGTTTACCCCGATGGCGCTGCAAAAGTTGTTTTACTGCGCTGATGTGCCGATGGTGGAGATTGCGGTGCCGCTGAACTTGCTGACCAACGTCTCTGCCCCATCGAATCCCCCCTCCTCTTCCCCCATTGAGACGACGGAGGCCGCTGCTGGTGGTGGTGGCGGTGGCGGCGGCGGCGTAAGAGAGGCGGAGGCGGCGGCGGAGGAGTCGCACTGGACCACGCGCGTCGTCTTCACACTGTTGTGGAAAGACGCCGCGGGCCTGAAGGTGCCGAACGTGTCAGTGGTCGACGCCGTCGTATTCGCCCACGAGGTCGTCCTGACAAAGATGGTGCCCATGGTCGCGGCTACCGGCGAGCTGCCGGCTGCGGGGTCGACGGTGCGAGGGGCAGCTGTGGAGGTGTCCTGCCACGCCGTCGCACGCGTGCCCGTGCACACCGGTGAGCAGGTCGTCGAGGCGACGACGCTGCCGGCCGCGGCGCCGACGCGGGTGTTCTCGACGGTGCGCTTTGTCGTGCTGTTTTTCGCCCTCTGCGTCGGTATGGTGAGTGGGACGGTGTGGGTGTTGTGGACACAAGATCGCCGCCGGACTACGTACGCGACGGTGCAGACTGTAGACGAGGGGCTAGATATGCCGGTGATTGGGAAACGAGGTTAGTTCATGGGCGAACAAAAGTGCTGCAAATGGTGAAGACGGAGTGCGGCACATGTATTTTTTTTTCTTCTCTCTCTCTGTGTGTGTGTGTGTGTCTGTGTCTGTGATTCCGCCGCTGTAACTTCTGCTGTCGAATACAAGAGACCTCTGAATGTGTTTTTATTATTAATATTATTCTTGTTTACAATCCATTTTTTTTCCAGTTTGTTGATCCTCGCACGATCGACTATTCTGTTGACTCTTCATTGATTCCACTTTTCAAAGGGAAGAGCGAAGTGAAGAGGAAAGAGAAAAGACAAACAAAAAGCAGCGAACGCAAAGGGTAGTGCTTACCACTCGCCCTCGTATTGCCTTCATTGAATCAGATCGTCACCGTCCACCTTTTCGCACGGTGCTTCTTGAGAGCTTCTTTTAGCCGCGCGCTCCCCTCCATTGCATCACATTATACGCATATTTACTTCTTCAACGCCCTTCTCTTCCCATCTCACTTTCCCATTTTGTCTCATCCGCTGACTTGAAACTTCTATCTCCCTCTTTTTTTTTTCTTGAACACGTTGCTTCAATCACACCGTTGTAAAAATTCTTTCCGATCATAATGTTGATGACTTCAAGCTTCTGCTCACAACATCTTCTCTCTCTCTCTCTTTCTCTCTGGCAAATAAATCCTGGCTGACCTGCGTTTGCGTCCTGTCAAATCACCTCTTTATCTGCTCTTCACTTCATTATTAGTATTATTTCTCTTTTTACTGCTGTTGCTTCTGAAAGTGTTTTACTGTCTACCCTTCTTTTCCTTTCCTTTGCTCTGTTTATATTGGTGCTGCTGGTTCTGTTCATCATACACACACACTACTGTCCACGCGGGTACGGAAAACCACAACAGAAAGAAAGAAAAATGCTCACGGAAAGAACTGCCGCCTGTGCACCCAAGGTAGATGCTGGGGACAGCCAACTGAGCGGTGCGCTTGGCATCCGCGAAAACACCCTTACAGACGATCCGCGACTTGCGAGTCCTTTGAATGCGGAGGCGGCGCGGCTGCGTGCGCTGCGCTCCGAGCCGGTGGTCTTGCGTCTCCGCCACATCAGCAAGAGCTATCCGATCGCCGGGACTGACGACCGGGTGGAAGCCCTGAAGGACATTACGCTGACAGAACCGGACAGCCCGTCCGAGGGCCACACCGTCGTGACGAACACGGCCTCTAGCGAGGACAGCCTACCCCCGCCGTTTGGCCCCGTTCGGCGTGGCGAGTTTGTGATGATTCGGGGCCCCAGCGGCGGTGGTAAGACGACACTGCTGAACATTGTCGGCACGATTGATGCGTGCACGAACGGCACGATTGAAGTGAACGGCCGCAACATCGATAAGGACACCACGGAGAACGTTCTGGCCGACATCCGGCTGAAGTCGTTGGGGTTTGTATTTCAGACCTTCAACCTGATTGCCACCATGACCGCCGCGGAGAACGTGGAACTACCCATGACGCTGCTGGGCAAACTGTCGAACAAGGAGATACGCCTGCGCTCCCGTCAGCTGCTCACCTTGGTCGGCCTACGCAACCGCATCAACCACCTCCCATCCGAGCTCAGCGGGGGCGAGCAGCAGCGTGTGACCATCGCCCGCAGTCTGGCGAATAACCCGTCCCTCTTGCTGCTGGACGAGCCCACCGGCGACCTTGACACGGCGAACACGATCGAAATCATGGACCTGCTCCTCCGCATCAACCGCCGCACCAAGACGACGTGCATTATGGTCACCCACAACCCGGACATTGAGTGCTACGCCGACCGCATCCTGTACGTGAACGACGGCCGTTTCGCCAAAGAGGTGTACAACACCGTGCCGACGTGTCTCAACCTAGAGAAGTACGCGAAATACTTGACGGAGAAGGAGAAGCTGATTACGGGGCTGACACACATCAACGAGAACGCCACGTCGGACGCGGAGGATGCCGAGACCGTGGAGGCCGGCGGCGCGGCGATGGTGCGACTCCGCCTCGACCCCTGTGGCAACAGCCCGGTAGTTGGGTCGGTGCAAGGGCCGGGGGCGAACCCGTTGCGGCTGCACAACGGCGGGAATGACTCACTCAACGAGAAGGACATCGGTGAGGCACCGCTGCTCCCCCCCTCGCCTGCAACCTCCGGCTTCGGCTCCCTGCGGGCAGGTGAGAACGTGTCGTCGCCAGTGCCGGCGCAAACAAACGCGGCGGGAGGGCTTGCTCCGCCGAACTCCTCCGCGCCGCCGGGGCGGTGGAGAAACGGGCTGCAGTCTGCTGCTGCTGCTGCCGTGCCGCCGTCTCGGCCCTCGCCGCTGACGCCGGTGGTGCACCGAGAGGAAAAGGAGGCAGAAGAGGGTATGTGAAAACATGACGAAAGAGTGTATTTATGAGACGCGCGCGCCCACGGCTGCTGACGTACGCCACCGGGCCTATGACGCACGTCTTTTCCTATGGCAGCTTTGCGATCAGGTGTACCTCTCATATTCTCTCCCCGACACCGCCGTTTCCATGTATCTGCGGCGTGCGTGCGCGTTTGTATAGAGATGTTCCTACTGCTTTTTCTTTTGATTACTTCTATACGTGTTATAATGTTGCTGATCAAAGCGTTTCCGAGAACGTAGAGAAAAACAAAACCATTTTTTTTTCTTCTTTGAACAACGACGGGCGAGCCGCTTTGCGGACAAAGTCGGCGTGGGAATGTGAGAAGGGGCACGACAGGACAGTGACACGCAGAGGGGGGAACTGTTTGCGCGATTTGCCTAGTACTCCGCCCCTTATTTCCCAGCCGTTGCAGCTCTGCGGTCTGTTAACAAAAGGGAGGAGGAGTGAATGACCCTTTTTGAGCAGTGCGTGCTGGAATAAAACAACAACAACAACTATAAAACTGCACACGACTGTGCCATTTCACGGAGCTGACGTGCTCGGCTCAACTTGGCGTCTCCTCGCTTTCGCAGTAGCGGCACGAACCGCCTTTTTTCTCTCTCTCCTCTTCTTTTCTTGCCGCCACGCAATGCATCACTCGACCGCCTTCCATCTCTCTTCTCTCTGCGCACACATCGAATCTCCTTTGGCAAAAAGATAAAACCCCCACGGTTACGCACAGTTTCCGATCGCGTTGCTTTCGTAAGAGGAAAATAGCGTTGGAGTGCACCCACACGCACGCACCCTCAGACCCCTTCTTTGTGTGACCTAGCGGGGACGCAGGAAGTTTGGCGGAGCGGAACATCATTCATTCGTTCCTCCAATTGCCCTTTATTCACAGCGCTTTCTTCGACTGTTGTGCATTCTTGTTTCTTTGTTTCTGCTTGGTGTGACTCATTATATATGTAGGTAACTGCTTTGAAGTACGTTCGCTGTTCTTGTCTCTTTTTCTGCGTTTCCTTTAAAAAGAAAAACAATTTGTACTGAAGCACATTCCCGTGCGTCATCTAGCAGCGTGGTGCTTGGCAACGAATTGAGAAGAGGAGGAGGAGGTTCTCGAATACCACCACCTCGCCACCGCCGTCTCTCAGAGCGCTGCTGCTGTTGCCTTTTGTTTTTGGAGGTGTCTTATTTTTTTTTTTGAACATTTCGGAGCTGCGGTCTCTCGGAGATGGAGACTGCATCGTCCGCCGCGGTCCACGGAGTCGAGGATGTGCGAGCGGGCGACCGTGACGGCGAGGCACCGCTGCCGTCCTCCCCTCCCCTCTCCTCCTTCAACCTATCGCACCACGCGTCTCAGACATCATCGCCCTCGCATCTGGGGAGGCACATGGAGTGCTGGATCTGCTTCGACTCCAACAACACACCCGCCGACCCCATTGTCACCCACCGCTGTCGCTGCCGGGGCTCTGTCGGCTTTGTGCATCAGAGGTGCATTGATAAGTGGGTCATCCAGAAGCACAACAACACCTGTCGCAGCTGCGGGGCTGTCTACCGCTTAGGACACAGCGACTACCCTCCTGGCGCGCAGCTGCCCCTCGATTTCAAGGGGCGAACCGTGTTTCTATTGAAATTTCTCGTGCAGCCGCTCCTCAAGGAGATCGTGGAGGCACTAGTGTGCGCCTTACTCCGCTTCCTGTGTGTCCCCATGTTCTTAGGGGCCATCTACAACTACCACCGCCTTACTGTGCTGCTGTGGATCGTGACTGGGAGCGCCACGACGCCGGAAACGCACGCCTCAAGTGCTTCAGCGAGTCCTCTTGTGGCGTGGCTCTTCAACACAGACTCCGCCGACGTGAAGGTGAGCTACACCGTCTGTCTCGCTGCGTGGGCCGAAACGCTTCTCGTTGGCCTTGTTGTGTGCACCGCCACCACTGTCGTGTCTGTGACATCCCGTCAATGGCACAAGTATTTTAAAAACGCACGTCGGAAGCACGAACGGGACGGGGCGGCGGCGATGCCGCAGGAGGCTGAGGCACCGGTCGCGATGGCAGCAGTCGACGGGCTTCGCCACGACACGGACAACAACCGGCAAGCGACAGCGGCGACGGTGGATGGCGCAGCGGATAGGTTGGATGGTGCTGGGCCGGAAGCGGCACCCGCCGACGCAAGAGAAGATGACGGCACCTCGTCTGGCGAAGATGACGACTCCACCACCGACGGCAGTAGTAGCGGCGACAGCGACAGCGATGACGACCACCCCGCCCCACGTCTGTCCTTTGTGGACGAGATGTTCGACTTGGTGGACTGGGTCAAGTCCGGCGCCGGCGGTGGTGGGTTGCGGCGGCTTCTTCCCTCCTTGGCAGTGCAGCTGCGGTACGGCGTCGTCCTCACACTTCTTCTGCGCTGCCCGCTGGGCCGCGTCGTGATCGCGGTGGCGTGTATTGTGCTGGTCGTCGGATGGCGCTACCGCTATTCTCGCCACATCCTAAGAAAGCCGAAGCTGCGCTTCCACGAGGTTGCGGAACGCGTGCCGCTCCTCTCGCGAGACGAGGTGCAAACTCTCTTTTACGTCTATTTAGTCGACGCCTTCTTTTTCTATTGTATTCTGCCGGAACTGGGTGGGATCACTTTGCACTACGCGTTGTCGCCTTACCTCGACATCGGTATGAATGGCGGGCTTCTGAACTTCTTCTATGGGCTGACGGTGTGGAAACTCGCCGTGTACTGGGGCATTGGGGCGCTGCTGGTCATGGGGCTCACAGCGGTGGAGCTGACAGTGGTGAGCGCGCTCTTCGCGAACGGTGTTGAGCTGTTCTTCGTGCGCAGCTTCGACGCGCGCTGGGATACGGCGCTTGGCTACTGGCGCTGCGTCATTACCCAAGTCTTCGACACGGACCCACCGCGTATTGTGTACGGCTTTGTGCGGGTGGCGGTGGTGGAGTTGCTAGTGCTGCTCATCTTTATGCGCATTCCGTTCTGGGGCATGAGTGGCGTGCGGAATCTTGTGTGGGGTGACGGCGTGATGCTGGCGGCGTCACCTTTTCCTTCCTCCGACGTATTCTTTCCCCCGCCGCCCACCAAGATGGCCTTTGATTTTGCGATAAGTGACGGGTACGACATGGATGACGACCTCACCTTTGCGGAGTGGCGTCGCCTCGAGGCGCTGCAGCTGTTCGATGAGAAGGTATTCATGCCGTTGGAGGCAGCGTATATAGAGATGGGCGAGTTCGTGCCGGACTACGCCGCAGGCATCCCCGAGAAGTTCCTCCTGCGAAGAGACCCTCGGGCGAATGCCTCGGTCACGGTCCACACGCCGGAGAAGGTGTGGGCGCAGGTGTGGGGGAGCCTGCCCGACACCGCCGTCTTTACCTTCGACCTTCTCGACCCGAGCTCCGCAGCGCGTGTCGCTGAGTTTTCAGAGGGCTTTCGCGACACCCTCGCCCGAGTGCGCGCGCCACTTGAATGGCTGCGGCTGGCGACGCGACGCGCCAGCGTGTGCGACACCCTCACCGCCCTATCGGCCCCGGTGGACTTCTACAAGAACGACACGCACTCCGCGTCTGCTGTGGACATCGAGGGCCTCTTGAAGCCGCCCCTCATGTTTCCCCGGCACCCACAGCTTTCCTTAGCAAAATTTTGGAATTTTCACATCTTTGGCTGGGAGGCAAGGCATTTAAAGGTACCCCATCGCTCAAGCCACGTTTCCAACGATATAATTAAAAGGATAGAGCACAGTGTGTACAAGGATGAGCGGCAGCGGCCGTCGTTGCGGATGCACACGGAGAACATCGTCAACTGCTACGTCGCGTTCATGCAAGTGACGCAGCCGTTTATGCGCGTGGGCCGCTGGCACACCAAGGTGATGGACTGGGGGGCGATGCTGCTGGTGCGCAACATCTTCTTTGACTACGGCGCTCTTCTCCTCTTGTACGTTTTGGCTTTCTTCACCGCTGTCTCGTGCTTTGTCTTCTTCCCGCTGCAGCGAGCACAGCTGCGGCTGCTGTTGCCTTTTGTGCGGTGGGTCGGTCGCCATGTGGTGCACATGGAGGACTACCTCTTCGACCAGGACCAAATTCGCGCCGTGGAGGACTTCATGCGAGCGGAGTTCGACGACGAGTTGGTGCTGCCGCCGATGGTGGAGCCGATGGGCTTCAACCGACGGGAGGATTACCTCGATGAGAGCCGCATTCCCTCGTACGTGGTCCTCCGTCGGGTGGTGGTCTCAGTGCTCTTCTTCATGGCTGCTTCGCTGATGGTGTGGACGGTGCCGGTGCTGTGTGGTTCGCTTTTGCTATCCTTCACCTCCAACGCCTTGCCCGTGCTGCTGGGCGCGACGCTTATGAGCTTTTTTATTTGGAGCCCTTCGCTGCTTGCCCGGTCCGCGGTGGTCGGCGCTGCCTTCTCCTTGACAATTGTTGTTGCAGTGCCGCTGCTTTTCATGATGTACGTTGCCCCGACGCTGCAGACCTTATGGAGGTTCCCGCCGTCTGTGGTGACGGAGACCTTTCAGCGTCACTACAACATCCGTCAGATGGTGGACCGCTATAGCGAAAGCGATGGCGGGTGGCGCAACAAAGACGGCGGCAGCAGGCGTAGCAGTCGGGAAGAGGACGGCGACAACGAGCGGGAGGTGGAGGCGGAGAACGACGAGTGGGAGAGCGTGAGTTCGAGTGAAGCGGCGTCGGAGGCCGAGATGGAAGGACAAGGGCAGACGCAGAACGAGGAGGAGGAGGAGGAGGAGAAGCCGGAGAGGGCAGAGGAGGCAGATGAAAACGGTAGGGCTGCCGCAGCTCCTCCGCATTGAGTTGAACATGAGAAGAGCAAGGAAGAACAAAAATGGCGGTTCTCTTTAAAGGCAAAAGAAGAATTCACCGAATCTGCCGGTGCCGGCTTTGACTTATTATTAATATTATTGGGAGGTCTTTTTTTGTTACAGGTTATTCGAGTCTTACAGCCTGTCGTGAAGCAACATTACGCGTCTTTTGTGTTACTAAGGAACACGCTCAGGGGGGGGGGGGAAGATGGCCTTGCTACCGTTGTGGTGAGGAATACGACTAGCTGCGCCGGGTGCAGCCGGTTTTCTCGTCCTGACTAGTGAGATCAACTTTTTTGCGTTTCTTCAATTCCGCACAGTTTCTTCTTTTGAAAAAACAAACAATCAAAAAATAAGGGTCATGCAACGGAGAGCACCGCGGCGAGTTTTCTTGGGAAGGCAGGCGAGGATCACTTCATGCTCGACGGGCTCTGATGTACGTCTGCTACAACGAAGCTGAAGCGCGTCACCATCAGGACTTTAACGGCCGCGACCGCGTAAAGCAACTGCAAAAAGAAAGAAAGAAGGAAGAAAAATGATGATTCAAAGGAGAAGATATGTGATGCAGGTTTGGCCCTTCGCGGTGCTTTGGCGTGTCCACCACCGTCGTTCATTTGCTTTTTCTTTATAGCGTTGTCTGCAAACACATTTCAACTTCGCCTGCACCATCTCTCTCTCTCTCTCTCTCCCTCCCTCTCTGTTCCCCGCACCTGTTTGGTTGCTGTCGACGTGGCCATTCTACCCCCGTTGCACGTTTCAATGTCTTACACCGGCGTATACATACATACATATATATCAAGAGATAAACCAGCGAAAACGCCCCCTTTTTGGCCTGGGAAAGGGAGAAATAGATAGGAGCTCGTTGAGAGCGACACTAGCACAGATACACACGCACACACACACACACACACACACACACACACGTGATTTAACGAAGAAAAAAGAAAGGGACAGCGTTCATTGCTGTTGCTGTCGCAGATGCCGTTTGCAGCGGCAGAAAAGCATGCCGGTGTCACGAAGCGGCTCTCACAACTCTCCCGCGGATGCGGCTGGACTGCATGGATTACATGTCTCTACTCCACTACCACGTCACACGGCAATTCCTCCTCCTGGGAGACAAGACGGGTCTACGGTGTCGTGTCTGTCGTTCCTCGCCCGCAGGGCACGTCTACTTTGTGTTGCGCACAACGGAACTACGCCACATCTTCTCCCTACGTTGCGCCTCCGCACCACCGCAACAGCAGTGCCGCGAAAATAGACGCAGATGACTGGTCCACCATTGAGGTGGAAGTGCTGAAGCCGGAGGCGGCGCCCGCTTCTTCCTTCACCTCTAGCACCTCCGACGTCTCTGCCACGACGGGCAGCGCCACAATGACGGCACGCGAAATCGGTGCGTCGCCCTCGTCCACGCGCACCGAGGCGGTGCAAACCATCGACGTTGTCGACGCCTACGCGAAGGCGAAAGTGATGAACTTCATTCGCCGTCAACAATCACCGCCACCGGACAGCGGCGATCGGGGAAGTGCCGGTAAGCCGTCGGCGTCGTCGGCATCTTCCTCCTTTGGTGCGCCCGTGCCGGGGTTGGAGGTGCGTGAGGTGCAGGGCGTTGAGGGCGGTGCCCCACAGTTTCACGCCCGGTGGCGCCTCCCGCTGCCCCCAGAGTACGGAGAACGCTTCGGCGAGGGCTTTGCGCCGACCGCGAAGGAGGCGGAGAACGTAGCCGCGATGCATGCCGAGCGCGTCATCGACGCTCTTGGCTTCCCGCTCTTTCTCCTCTCATCGAAACAGCGCAAACACGCTGAAGCGGCAAGGGCGGCGGGGCGGTGGGCGACGTTTCCTCCGGCCTCCCCTTCGGACACGGCCGCGACTGCAGCGGCGGAGCTCGTGCCACCACCCGAGACGCCGTCGCCGCAGCCGCTGCAGCTGCTGAGCATTTCGGCTCGCGAGCGGCAAGAGCGGCAGCTGCAGATCAACCACGTAGTGTTTACGCCGGTAGAGAAGGGGGTCTTTTCGCCGCTCTCCTGCACGCTGGCCTCACCCTATTACTACGACCCGTCGAGTGTGCGCCGCATCGAATCTTTTTTCAACGACCACCGCGTCTCCTTCTCACGGTGCCTGCGCTTGGTTCACCTACAAGGGGGTCACGAGAACGACATCCATCAGCAGCAACCTCGGCAGCGACACTGGCCTCCACAGCGGAATTTATATCTAGCACAGCTGACTCTGCCGCTGCCACCGCAGTTTGGCATTCGCGTGGCGATGGGACGCGGCCCTACGAAGAAGGATGCCGTTACCCTCGCCTGCATGCATGCAGAGCTCATCATCGACGCGGTCGGTTTCGCGCTCTACCCAGCCAACCACAAACAGCAGGCCGCGCACGCCGAGGAGTGTGCGCGGGTGCGACGGTGGTGCGCGCCGCCGGGTGACTGCGATTACCGCTACACCGTTACCTCGCCAGCCCCGCTCGAGCTCGTAGATAAACTCGATGCCTCCGCCGCCGTCGCAGCAACAGCAGCAACAGCAGCGGCGGCAAGCGTCTCGGCTGCGTCCCCGGCATTGATCAACTCGGAAAGACGCAAAACACGCACGGACGCCAGCGACGTTCGTCGGCACGGCCATAACGGTTCGCGGCCCGAGGACGAGAGCCGCCCCGACGATAAGGATGGCCGCTGTGCTAACCATGGCGGGCGCACCGACAGCGCTGACATCGAAGTAGGGACAACGTCGTCTGGCTCCGTCGAGTCGATTCTCCTGCAGCACCACAATGCCGTCGCCGCGGCGTCGCACTTTGCGAATGAGGTGACGATGCGCGACTACGAAAACGCACGTCTGCTGCTGGAGCGCTACCTCGAACAGTTTGTGCGGCCGGCCCCGCCAGGCGCTGCACCCTATTCCCCCCCGTCTCCCTCGGAAGCGTCGCCGTTGCGCTCGCTGATGTTTGTGGAGACGCTCGGGCAGCGAGACCGTCCCTGCTACCGCGCCACCATCACCGTCCCGCTCGTCGAGGGCGCCACCGCAGCGAAAAGCGTCGGGCAGGCTGATACGACCGTGACGACGGCGGCGGTCCCTGCTGCTTCACCGGTGGATGCCCCGCTCTCTTACACGCAGTCGTTTGTCGCGATAGGCGTCTCGGACGTGCCGCACATCGCCGAGCTTGCGGCGTCCCTGCACGCGTTGCGCACACTCGCGGCCCTTAACCGACTTACGTTGTTGCGCGGCAGCTCCGCCGTCATCCAGGCGATGGAGTCCTTCGCGACGCGAGGTCATCTCCCGCAGTATAAGCCAACGCAGCCGATGCTGGGCCTTGCGGATGTGCCGCCTGAGAAGCTGCCCGCGGCTGTGCGGGTTATGGATGGCGTCATTGGTCGCATCGCCGCGGCGGGTCTGACCACCAAGATGAAAGAGGCACGGGCGCAGGTGTTCACGCCCGGTTTAGTGCTGCCGTCGAGGAAGAGTAACTTAAAAATGAAGTCTGAGCACGAGCTCCATGTCCTTCATCGCCACACACGTGGGGATTTCCTGCTGAAGGAGCTTCAGCAGGCCCGGTCACGCACGCCGCGCCTAGACTGGGACACAACCGCCGACGCGCAAAATCGCATCGTCATCGCACCCGACACCGATCCGCAGACCGCGCCGGACTACCTCCACACGTTGTCGTCGGTGCGTAACCCAGATCGCGGGGTCGCGCTGCGCATCCGCGACTACCTCGAGCGACACGGCAAGACACGCGAGATGGTTTGCAAGACGACGCGTGTGCCGGTGTCCGTGAAAGCACCAGAGGAGGGGTACATGTTTGTGACGACGCTCACACTGCCTCTTCCCGAAGTCAACCGATGGCGAACGCGCGAGGAAGACGATGCGGCGGAAGGTGACACGAAGGAGGCGGAGAAGGAGACGACGGCCGCGGAGGGGGCGATGGTGGCTGCGCCGTCAGCGTCGACCACCACCTTTCCCCTTTCTGCCGCCCAAATCTCCCTCTCAGGAAGACGGACCTGCATGGCGCAGGGAGAGGCGCCGACGCGCGAGGCCTCCTTTCTCATGTGCAACGCACACGCCGAGCTTCTCCTCGACGCACTGGGTATCCCCCTGTACGACAACTCGGTGCTGCAGTGCAAGCACGTCGACACCGCTCGCTCGCTCGGGCGGTGGGCACCGCTGGTGCGTGGCGCGCTGACGGTCCCCGCTGCCCTGCGCCCTCTCCCGCCGCCGCTGCGTAAAGTGACGTCGTCGAGTGCGCTGTGGGCGCGTGTGCAGCGCGATCGCCACACCGCCGCGGAGGAGGCGAGCGGCGAAGTCGGCAAAAATGTGGATGGGGCGGGGGCGGCGGCTGTTGGCGATTCTCCGGCGCAAGAAGGGCCGGCCGCCGTGGACGGCAGCGATGCAACGGCAGGTGAGGTCAACGACGACGACGCGCTCTGCGATGTGGCTCGCCTGCGATTTGTGCACCACACCGAAATATTCCACTACTCGGTGCGCTACGCCTCGAAGTTTTTTACTGAAAAGGGGCTTGACTTTTTGCGCGCCGTGCGGGAGTACAAGGTGCACCACCCCAAGTACGGCACCGTACACCGTGCTATTGTGGAGCTGCCGACGCCGCCCATGTACGGAAAGCGGTACGCCGTCGGTGTCGCCGACTCGAAGCAGCGGGCCCTCCACCTCTGCTCGCAGCACGTCGTGCACATTCTCGACGCACTCCTCATTCCACTTCACCACACCAAATATGCGCAATCCCGCTACGCGCACAAGGGCGCTGTCCTGGGACGGAAGGCGCCGCTGCCCTCGGAGGGGCGAGCAGGTCCCAACACGCCGACGCCGCCGGGGTACTATTCGGTGGAGTTGAGCGAGGCAGCCAACGAGCGACCGCCCGCCATTCCCGTGTGCCCTACAGCCGATGCAGCGGAAGATGAGTTTACGTGGAAGACGTACGTGCGACGCTGCGCCATTTACCGACAGCGTTGGACGGCCTACATGGAAAAGAAGGCGGTGTCATCCCTGCCAGTTCCTGGTGCGCCTCGCTCCCACGTGCCGGTGGAGGATACCACGTTGGATCTTGCTGAGGCGGCCCCGTTCCAGCCGCAAGCAGGGCGACAATTGCGAGAAGTGTGTAGCTTTGCGGGGCTGCCGAACCCGTTAGCAGAGCGCATTCCCTTCGAAGTGGTGAAGCTCTCCAGGGAGAAGCGCGTCTTTGTGACCACCGCCTCTCTTCATGGCACCCCGTACACGATGCGAGGTTTCAGCAGTGAAGGTGGACCGCAGAGCAGGCAACGGGCCTTCATGCATGGCGTTCAGCTGGTGCAGCGCGTCGTGCGGAAGAACAATGAAATATGCGTGAAGGCACGATGGGGTTGGACGGAAGGGATAGATCGACGGGTGGGCATGTTAGACCCACTGAAGGGCGAGATCACGCACCATGGGCGTGTGTGGGTGCTGCGGATGTGGAGTGCGATGCATTGCCCGCAGCGAGCGTTGCAGGTGCTTGTGCGCGAAGAATCTTCGAAGTCCAATGGAGCGGCATTAAGGGACAGCACCTGTGGGGCGGCTGCTGATAACGACGCGTCGACATCAAACATGAAGGAGGCACTGCACACGAGAGCAGCAACTCCCTCTTCCCACGCCGAACACAACGAATCTGCTCCAAGTTCGGCCGATGGGGAGGGAGAAGCAGTAGAGTTGAATAGGCCGCAGTACTACGCATCTGTGTCTGTTGTGGAGGGCAGCCGAGCGGAACTGCCGAAGGTACTGTTAAAGGAGTCGTGCGTAGCTACTGGTTTTAACGGCGCCGCCGCCGTACAAGGTGCTGTGCACCGGGTTTTCCTTCAACTTCAGAGATCGCCAACCATGCAAGCCCTTCATCGCTTTTTGTCCCACCAGCCGCAGCTGCACCTTCCCTCACTGCGAACCTTACGAGACACGGACAACATTGTCCGTCAACTACCACTTTTACTTTCGCCACTTGTAGCGGAGGCGGGATCTTCTGCTGCCGTTGATCCCCCTTCTCTTCAATCGAGTAGCGGCGAGTCCTGTTGGGCCCTACCCACGTACAGTACATGGCCGGTTAAGGTCTTGCTACGTTGGGTGCATGCACACGACAGTGCAGGGGAGCTTGTGCCCGCCGCCATGAACCTTCCTTGCACCCTTGCACCGCTTTTCGCGTCGTACGGGCTTGTTGCAGCGGACGCCGCTTTGTGTCGTGGCAGTGGTGAAGGGAGAAGCGAGTTGCACACCGATAGCGCTGGTGGCGCGCCTTCGTGTTTGGCTGGTGTGCTGGCCTTGCTGTGTCGATGCTTACCCCAACCCTTTGCAGTTGCATCAACTCTCTCATCCGCATCTTCATCGGCCGACCCCGCACTCGCTGTGTCGAACGCGGTCGCGCGTGACCGCGCCTTGCCACTGCAGTTGGCGCATGTTCTCCTCATGGGTCTGTTGCTGGACTGCGTGCCCTGGGCGGTGCGGCTGGTTGCCATGGTCGTGTGTGCCGAGGAGACACTGGGGTGGTACACCGCAGCACGACTGGCACTACGGCTGCCTGAGGTGGACACGCAGGCGAACCCGGCAGCAACCGAAATGTGGTCGCGCATGAGTGTGGATGTGGTGGAGGCGGTGCTTCTCTCGGCAGACCCCGCAACGCTGCCGCTGCCGGCGTCGGTGATGTCGTACGCGCGCGCTGTGTCGCAGCGTCTGCGTTGTGTGTCGACAGATGTACAGAGCGGCTTGAAGGATGCAGAGGCAAATCCCGAAAACGCGTACAATACAGACGTGGAGAGCCGGCACCGGGGGATCGATGCTGCCTGGCTGCATCAAGCAGAAGCATTGCTGAGGAACATGAAGGACGGGCATGACAGTGGGTCAGCGCCTTTGCAGCAACTGTCGATGCAGGAGACATGGCGGCTCCGCTCCCTGCTGCGATGCGCTGTGGTCGCCTCGGTCGCTCCCCAGGAGGTGTGGGTGCGCGCCGGTGGAGCGGAAGACTTTGTACGCAACCTTTACCACGATGAGGCGGAGGAGGAGGAATTCAAAGATGGCGATGGTGCCGGAGAGGCAGCAGACCGCGACGATGACGACGACGAAGAAACAGCAGGGCGTACTCCAACTTCCGAGGAATTATTTGTCTTTCAAGGTAGGCGCTCGGCCCCGCTTGCCGCCCTCTGCGTGAATGGGATGGACCTCACTCGCAGCGACGCCGACTCACTGCACACGCTCTCCTCCATGGCCGCCTGCTTTGTCGCTTTTGGCTGTGCGGTAGAGCCTGTCGCAAGGCGTGAACCCGCCATCCACGACGCGACTGCGACGCCCGTCTCCACTGGTGCGACGCTGTCGGCTGCCCGGAGTCCTTCGCACTGTGCGGACTCAGCAGCGGCGACGGAGGACGAGGACGAGGACGATGGCAACGGCGACGGCAGCGATGCCGCGGAGACAGCCGAAGACGACACCTTCGAGAAAGATGAGGAAGAGTACGGAAGGGATGTGCGAGGCAAAGCGATCGATGCGGTGTGCTTCACCAGGGTCCTTGGCACTTGTGTTACGCCGCTGGCGGCTATGGTGGTCGGACAGGACACGATTCGTTCCTTGTCTACGTCTTCGCCCACGAGCGCGTCGACGGCTACAACCGGTGGCGGCGCCCTTCGGCCTGCGGGTGAGGATATGCCTTTTTTGATGACCGCGTTTCAGGGCACGGTGCCGCTGCTTGTGCACGACGGCAAGTCCGTTGAAGCGTTGCAGCAGCTGTCAGCGCACTTCCGCGCGCGGGTCGTGCGCGTGAGCCCGTTTACGGATACCGAAAGAGCGGCGCTATGCCAGCTCGTCTCCTTACCGGTGGAGGCCGTTCGAGACGATGGCGTTGACGACGCATGAAAGACGGAAATCGACGCGTGTTTGAACGGCTGGGCCAACGAGAAAAAAGGAATGCGCTGGTTGAACTTCTCAAACAACAATGAATAATAACCCGAAGAGAGGGAGAGGGAAAGAAGAAAGCATTGTGCGAGATCCAACGGAATGTAATTTCACACTCAGCGCCGGTGACAAAAGAAAAAAGGGAAAAACAACTGCACTGGCCTCAGGAAGAAATACATGTAACTAAGGAGCAGCGAGGTACGTTGGCAGTAGCATTAGTGTGGATCGTTATTATTACTATCATTATTATTATTTGATGTCGTTGTGGTCATCGTCATCGCTGTTCTACTCAAACCTTTCGACGCTGTTTTTCTTTTCTTCTTTCTGTTCTCGTGCTCTCCTCTACATTCACTGCTGAATGTAAGGTTAGTTATTCCGCTAAAGCAACACACACACACACATACACACAGACACAGACAGACAACAACAAGAAATGATTCACCACGTTTGGCGAAGCCGCAGATTTTTCATATTCAGTGTTTTGCCTTGCGCCGTACGGTGCAACTAATGTCACAACCTGCATCACACTCGCTGCACAACGCTGCGAAGGCACCGGCTGGTAGCTCGCTGACCTCTGCCTCTGCTCCACCTTCTTTCACCGGCCGCTGTACACAAGATGAGACGGGAGAGGCGGCGGCAGATCCCACCAGCTCGACAACGACGGCCTCACCTCACAGCACTGTTGCGCATCGTCTTCGTAAAGCTGCCGCGTCTTCTGCCGCATCCACCGCCTCCCCTCCGTTCCTACGCTCGTACCGGCTGCACTACGACTTCGTGGAGAACGCGCTCGAGTCGAAGGCAAACGCGCTCGACCGTGGTACGTACTTCTTCTTCTACCTCATCTTTGTAATCGGCTTTTGCTTTTACTTCTTGTACGACGTGGATGTGTCGGCGCGGTATCAGCTGCGGCACAGCCTGTTGGACACCCTCGCCCAAGCGGAGATGCCGCGTCTGAAGGAAACCGTAAGCTTCTCTCAGGTGGCAAGTGCAAGCGACTACGGCGAGTATGTTCTCTACGCCGTGGCGCCACTCCTGGCGAATGTCCTCTCTCCCACAGGGTCAAGCATTCCCCTCGGCGCGATGCGGCTGCGCACGCAGCGCAGTGTGACGATCGGCTGCGACAGCTTCCAGGCGGGTCGTGCCGCAGCTCTTTACACCCTCATCACCTGCCAAGACGGCGCTGTTTCCGCACAGGAGGACACGGGACTGCTGAGCGAGACCCGATTTGACATGGAGACGCTCTGGGACTACCACAGCTGCACCGAGGCGGGTGGCAACCGCTACGTGCTCCTGCAGGGCTCTCTCGGCACCTACCACTGCGGCGGCTTCATCTTTGACGCTCCGCTGTGGGTGGCGCGGGACAACGCGAGCCTTGCCGGACAGGAGGCACCGCCTTCCCTCGGCACGGCAGAGCAAGCCTTCCCTTTTTCAGAGGGTACGCTGCCGTACCACCGCATCTCGCTGCAGCGGCTGCAGGGCAAGTACCTCCACCAGCTTTTCTCGGAGGCCGCGGCGCCCTTCTTGGACAACTACGCAACGCGTATGGTGGTGACGGAGGTGCTCTTCTACAACCCACCCCTGCAGCGCTTCGCAACGGTGAAGCTGGTGGGCGAGGTGACGAGCAGGGGGTCGTGGAGAACGTCGTCGTTTCTGCGCACCGCACGCGTCTGGACGAGCGACGACGTGGGGAAGGGTGTCTACGACGCTGTGGTGATGTTGGCGGCGCTGGCGTGGCTGATTGCCTTCATTGCCAGAGCAGTGGCGTTTGTACAGCGGCGGGTGGCGGAGCGGAAGGGCAACGGCATCGTCGCTGCGGGCAAACGCGTGCGGGACACCACCGGACTGAGCTACAGCGCCGTCTCCATGGTGCGCATCATGGCTACCGCTGAGTACGTATTTGATCCGCAGAACCTGTCAGCCGTGGCGATATTGTCTCTGTGCGTGGTGACGGCTGGCTACCGAATCGCCTCCATTGTATACTGCGCGCGCGCCGTACCCGCACTGGACGAGATCATCTACCTGGATAGCTACCCGATGCAATTGGAATATCTCTTCTACCTGGAGCGCGTGCAGATGTACGTGAACGCCGTGCTGGTGCTCCTCCTCTTCTACCGTGGTCTGTGCTTCGTCGCGGTCGACACGCATGCAGCGCGGGTGGTGCACGTCCTCGCCCGCTCGCAGTCCGCGCTGTGCGGCTACCTGTTGCTGTCGCTGCTCACCACGACCGCCTACGCTCTCACCCTCACCACGCTGTATGGTGACTCGATCTGGAGCTTTCGGAGCGTGGACAGTGCATTCTACAACCTGTTCCGTGTGATGGTGCGTCAGCACGACATCGGCGCCTTCACCCGTGACGACGACAACCCGTTGCCGTTGGCGTTCATTCTCTACTCCTACTACATCATCGGTGTCCTTACTACCTTCAGCCTCGCCGCTGGCATTCTTGTGCACAGCTTCACGGAGCTGCGCAAGGAGGAACCGTCACCGGTGATCGCGGCCTACCAGATTCAGTGGCTGCTGCACCGTGTGGGCACGTGCCTGCCGCGGCCGCAGCAGTGGCCTTGGTTTGGCTGGCGCTGGTGCACGGGCTACGGCGATGCCGCGCTGCTGCGTCATGCCGCCCGCTGCCTCCGCTGCTACCGAGCAGCGAAGTACCCCGCGTTGGACCACGTGGAGGGAGAGCAGCGGCAGTTGTTGGACCTCGATGAGTTCACGGAAGCGATGCAGCACTTCAGCGATGCGCCGTCGTCGCCGTTGCACGCGTCGAAGTTGCGTTCGGACTGGCGCCGCGGTACGTGGATGACGTGGGCAACGCGATCGACCAGCGGCGACTCCAGTTTGCCCCCCTCCGCGCCGGGGGACAGCAGCGGGAGCAACGTGGGAGACGCGCGCTGCGAGCAACGCGGTTGGACATCGGCCTCGCAAGATAGCGCATTCCTCTCCCCCCACGCCTCCCTTGATGGCCACAGCAGCGAGTCGCTTGAACTTGTCAAGTCGAAGCTGTTTGCAGGGGAGTGGGAGCGGTTGAGGCGGCAGTGGCAGCGGCGGTGGGCGGCCTACGCCCCGGTAGAGGTGTGGCGCGATGTGTACAAGGACTGGTTGGCCTCCACCACAGCAGAGGCGTCGTTGCTCTATCGAGAAGAGATTGTGTGGCTGCGCAATGGCGTGCAGTCCGCGGTAGGCGACAACTTACTGCATGCGAAGAGGTTTTCTCAGCGGCTGGCGGAGCTCGAGCGGAAACTGAAATTGTTAGAAAGCGAATTTCGCGAGAATGAGCTGACCGCCGCTGCATCTGACAAGGTGGACCGTGATGAGAGGCTGGAGAGTGTGCAGTGAGAGGTGCGTCGACCTCGTGCACACACACACACCGAAAGAGTGTCTCGCTCTTTGCTGAACTTCTTCGTCTACCTCACTCTCGGGGAGTGAAATGTCTAGTTGACACGCTGCTATTCACTAGGATTCGAGCCATTCTCATCTTTTCCGATTCATCTGCTCCTTGGCTGCCGGTAGTTGAAAAAGTACAGTAAATTACTTTAAAAAAGGAGAGTAAGAGAGGAGGCGAGCGGAGTAAGTGGGTTTTGCTTCTGTGTTAGAGTTGGGCGAATGCGTTGGCGGAGCTACGAAACTCTGGTGAGATAGCGAGCGACCGATGGTTGAAATACAGGTATGTGGCTTGTTTTTTTTTTTTAAATTGAGACTTCTACGTTCTCTGCACGTCCATCTTTCCTGTACCACCTCCTCTTGTCTTTTTTTTTCTTTTCCTTTTATCGAATCGTGTATCGTGGATAAAGCGCGGTGATCCTCCTGTTACCAGCTCATCGTACCGGCACACGACTATATATTTTTTCTGTTTCTTTCGAAGTGCGAACGGCTTCGGTTTCCACGAATCCACGTGACTACTCGGGTGGGAGCCCTGCAAGTTCAATACGTACGCCCGTCGTTGTTGTCTAACTCGTTCTTCTTGGGTAAAGAGAGAGCCGTGTACGGAAGAGGCAACGGGAAAACAAAAGAGCCACAGGAGAAGGAGCGAAGGTGGCACCCCCCCCCTCCACCCGCTGTCGTCATCATCATGGCCATTGGTCTGGGACGGACAATTGGGAATCCAATCTTCCTCTTCTTCCAAATCGTTCACGGTGTTAGTCTCTTCTTCATCATGCTGGGCGTCGCACGCGTTGTGCTCGGCGTGCTGGAGCTGACGACCAACGCGGCGGCGCCTTCCTCCTCGCTGCCGCCCCCTCGCCCCTCTGCGTTACCTCCACGGCAGCAAGCGCTGTCGATTGCACACTCGCCTGCAGCCGCATTTCCTCTCCCTACAGCGGAGCGGAGCCGTATTTTCAGCCTCCACCAAGTCGCCTCCCAGCAGCTTCCCTATACCGCAAGTCTCGTAGCGGATCAGCTCGCCCCGGCGGCGGAAGAGCTCGTGCCTTCCTTCCCCGCGCAGCTCAGCTACTGCTTCCACGTCCCTCTCCAGTCGCTCTTCCACAGCCCGGTTGCCATCTACTTGAAGGCCAACGATGAAGGGGGCCCTCCTTTGCTGGACGCGGCCAAAATGCCACCGCTTCGCTCCGACGGTAGTGCGGGCCGCTTTTATCTGCAGCACTTCTGCGCCGCTGTGCTGTGCGCCTACCCCCTTGCCCTGCTCCTCCAGCGCCGCAAGTTCGTATTGGACTTCGTCGTGACCATCTACGCGGTCTATTGGGTCTTTACAGACTTGATGCTGCAGGCGGTGTTGGGTGGTGGGACGTGGCATTGGTGGGGGGCGTGCCTGACGGGACTGGCCACCATGTACGCCGTGACCTACGTGATTTGCCGAAGGAAGGAGATGCAGGAGGTGAAGCTGTCGAGCGGCGGGGCTGGAGCAGGGGCGAACGCAGCGACCGTGCTGACGAGCACCACCACCACCGCCAGCGCCGCCGCCGCTTCCAGGTTAAAAGACGGCCGCGGCGAGATCAACAGCAGCGACGCACGAGAGATGGAGGAGGTGCGGCCGGTGTTTCAGGACGCGTTTTGCCCGTCCGGCGGGCAGCCGCGGTGACAGGAAGCGGTGGTGGGGCGCCGGGGCTCTTTCCAGACAAGTCAGGCGGGCGTGGGCGGCCCACCGTCGGGGCAACCTCGCCGAAGCCGGCGGTGGTGGTGGACATGAGCGGTGCCGACGATGCACCATTCAAAAGTAAATCTGTGTGAGGCCGGCATCGAGGTGTTTTTCCGGTCTTGTGATCAGAGAAGAGGCGGCTTGCGCAACGCCGTATCGTTTGGATTCTGTTTTTGTTATTGTTGCTGTTGCGGGTGTATATGTAGATCGGCACCCAACGTTGCTGCTGCGGCTGCACGCGAGGTTGGGTGTGCGGATGAAATCACGAAAACGGTCCGCTGCGAGCACGGTTTGTTGTGGTTGTTTGTGATGCTGTGCTTGTGATTGCTTGTCTCTTTTTTCTTTTCACCGCTGCTGAAACTTTTGTGTACCTCTCGCAGGTTCTCTCTCTCTCTCTCTCTCTCTCTTGCAGAAATGGGCTTTTCATACTGACTACCGCAATCAACAAAGAAAAAGGCCGAAAGTGATGCGTGGGAACCTGGCATATGCGCCAGTTTGGCGTTCTGTTGTCTACGCGTGGCATCCTGAAAGCACACGCAATGTGCGTCGGCACCGAGGAGGACGAAGAGTTGGTGCGCTCTTTTTTCTAGCGTCAACGTCTCTCTCTCTCTATCCCTTTCGGTGTGTGTGTGTGTGGGTGTGTTTGTCAAAGCGCACTGGCCGACAGTCGGCAGAGGCACACAAACTCTTTCTGTTTTGTTGTTACACATACATACTACACTCAATATATATAAATATATCTTACGCTCCAAGTACAAAAAAAAGAAGATGTCACGGGCCCCCGCCGATCAGCGACGGCCACCCGCGTTGTTGGGTGTCGCGTTCGCGTACTGCGTGCTGCTGTCCGCCTTCACACCGGCCGTCAGCGCCTTTTACATTCCCGGCACGAAGGAAACATCCTACAAGGTGAACGCCACCGTCCCTTTCAGCGTCAACACCCTGCGCTCCTCCTCAGTGGCGTTCCCGATCGACTACAAGAAAATGCCCTTTTGTCAGCCAAAGGACCTGCAGCCAAAGTCGGAGTCAATTGGGGAGATCATTTGGGGTGATCGCCAGTACAACTCACTCTATTCCGTCAACATGCTGCAGAACGTGTCGTGCATGGCGCTGCCCGACTGCGACGTCAATGCGAACAACGAGATGCTTCGCAGGAGCAAAATGATGGAGCGGATGATTAACAACTTCTACCGGGTGTACATGAACATCGACAACCTTCCCGCCTTCACCAACACATCCGTCGACTCCACCTCTCTCATGGTGCAGTGCAAAGACAAGCTGAAGAAGGACTGGTCGTTCGTGCGGCAGCGCGGCTTTCCCCTGGGCATTTCCAAGAAGTGCAACGGCGGGGATGCGCTCTTGAACAACCACCTCGACTTCATCATTCACTACAACTATGACAGTCAGTCAAGTGAGAAAAGCGACTCACCTGGATTCATCGTGGTTGGATTGGAGGTGGAAGCCTCGAGCATCGCGTGGCAAGCTGAGGGTAATTGCACGGGGGACGCGTCCCTGTCCATCAGGCAAAAGATGGAGTATTACGGCCCGTTGCAAATGGCGAAGGTGAGGAGCGGAGTTCAGCGGGTCTACTGGACCTACAGCTACACCTGGCAGAAGAGTAACTTGCAGTGGGGCACGCGCTGGGATTGGTACCTGACGAGCGCCGCCGTGAATGAGCCGGCCAATCACATCCTCTCCATCATCCTCGCCATCGTGGTGGTGCTCTTCATTGGCAGCTCCGTCTTCTGTCTTCTCCTGCGTGCCCTGCACAAGGACTTCAACCGCTACAATTCCGAGGACCCCGAGGATCTGCAGGAGGAGACAGGGTGGAAACTGATCCACGCGGATGTCTTCCGTCCACCTTTCTACGCCAACTGGCTCGCCATCTTCGTCGCCAACGGCTGCCAGGTCATTAGCACCGTCACGATTGTGTTGATGGCTGCCATGCTCGGCCTTCTCTCCCCGTCGCGCCGCGGTGCCCTGGTATCGGCGATGCTCTTCACCGCCGTCTTTACCTCAATCATCGGCGGCTACGTATGCGGCGTGCTGCTGCAATACCTCAACTGCCGTGCCTGGAAGCACATCTTTCTGTGCAGCCTCACGTTGCCCGGTGGGCTGCTGCTGACGTACCTTTTCACCTCCACCATCAACGCCGTGCACGGCGCCACGACGGCGGTGCCGTTGGCGACACTGCTACAGATTGTCGTGTTGATGGTGGCTGTCAGTCTACCCCTCACCGTGCTCGGCGGCTCCATCGCCTTTCGCCAGCAGCCCATCACCAACCCGACCCACGTGGGCCGCCTCGCACGCGAGATTCCGCAGCAGAATTTTCTGAACCGGCCTCTCTTCATGTACTCTTTCTTCCCCTGCGTGCCGCTTATCGTTGTCATGGTTGAGGTGTACTACATTATGCAAGATCTGTGGGCGGGGCAGATCTACTACTCCTTTGGCTTTCTCGCCATGACGGCGCTGATCTGGGCCATGGTGTGTGCCCTTGTCACTATCTCGTGCCTCTACTACGTGCTGTGCTTCGAAAATCATCGCTGGTGGTGGGTGGCGTACATCGTACCCGGCGGCGCTGGACTGCACATGTTTTTTCTCTGCATGTTCTTCTTCGCTTGGCAGCTGAACGTGGTGTCTTTCGCCTCCACCGTGCTGTTCTTTGTGTACATGGGGGCGCTGTCGTACATGTACGGTCTCGCCGCCGGTGCGATAGGCGTGGCCACTTCCATCATCTTCGTTCGCCAGATCTACGCTAGCATCAAGATCGACTAAGGGAGGTCCAAGGGAGTGGCCGGTGACCACTTCTGCGTTGACCAAAAAGACAAAGGTCTTTTTTTTCTGGTATGTACGTGTGTGTGCGTGTGGAAAAGGCCGGAGTGGTGGTGGGATAGTCGTAGCCGGTAGTCATGGTGTTTCTTTGTTTTGTTTGTTTTGTTATAGAAACCATCGCAAATGCGTTATGCTGGATTGGCCCTACTGCGCCATCACCATTGAAAAAGAAGCTCTTGTTTGCATAGACGCAGCTATATATTTTTTTGGGGGCTTTACACTGCAGTCAATTTCTTAGTTGCTCGTTATATCTTTTTCTGGTGTTGTTGTGCTTGTGTGTGCGCGCGCGTACTAGGAAGAGGAAGGAAAAGACGTTTCTGGGGGCAGACCTGATCTTTTTGTTGGTGCTGAGCGTCCCCGTTCGCAGACGGACGGCTTTGTTCGACTTTGAGGGACGCCAAGCGCATTGCACATTGGTTGCTTGTGCTCATAAAAGCGGTAAGTTGTAGATTACGCTTCGTGTTTTTTTTTTTTAAGTTGGCGTCTTGGTTGATATATTGACATGTGTATTGCGGCTCAATTACTGAACTAACGGGCCTCTGTTTTTCTTAACCATTTTCATGTTTTCACTTATCGAGGAAAAAAAACATAAAAAGAAAGTAAATATTCATGGACTGCTCGCTGGGCCGATTTTGTCAAGAACACACATTTCTAACAAGGAAAGATTGTAGGCACGTTCTTCTCTTTCAGAGTTTATCACGCAACGAGCTGCAGCGCCGCCAACAACGTCTGCGCGATCCCCCCCCCCCTTTCTCCCCCGCTTCACGGGATTTCGCTCGAGTTGGCGCACTCCCTCCGCGTTGCGCACCTCTTTTTTTTTCTTTTCTGCGTCTCGGTGGCTTTGTGTGTTCAAATTGGAGGTTGAAACCTTTTTGGTTTCTCCCTCTTGTGACACGTGACCGATTTAGCGCGAGTCTAGATGCGCTTTATCGTGCAAGCCGTACCTCGTTCTGTGTTCTTCACCCGCTGCGAAACGTCCCTCTGGCGTTTCCAAGTTTATCGTGTCTTGCTCCTGCCACTCGTTCTCTCTCTACTGGTCTCCCCGTCTCCGCTCGTTGCATGCGCGTGTCACACTAGTGTGCGCTTGCAAAGGATTTATATTTATACGTATAGGTCTTTAGCTATTCAGGCTACACACAAGCTGCAGATTCATTTCGTGTGTATTCGGCTCCGCAACGTGGGCCGCACCTTCGCCCAACGCTCCACAGCAACACAAACTCAAATCTTTACTATAAAGCTTTCCTTCATTTACCTCGCATTAACGCTTGTTTCATCCGTTTTTCTTATTTTCAGTTGTTCCATTACAACATAGTCAAGAAGAGAGCGCAAGAGAGACGTCCACGACGCCATCGAAATTTTTTGTTTTTGAGCAACATGAAAGATCCTACGTTGTCTTCCTCGTCGCCTTTTTATGTACTGGTGTGACGATTACTATTATTATTATTATTATCCCCCACCCCCCTCTCTCTACTGTCCTCTTCCATTTCAACCGGCGTGTCTTTTTGTTTGTTTTTGTTTTCACTCTTGCCTGTCCACAGCAAATACACACCCAGAACGACGGTTGCTTCGCTTCCCATCAGCCTTGTACATGCGTGCCTGCCCACTATCGCTTTGAGTTTCTCTCCAAGCTCCACACGCTCGTAAGGCGGGAGTGACTCTCGACGTTCTGTACATCTGCTCCGTGTCCGTACGTGCAGTTTGTTTTTCTTCCGTTGCTATCGATCTTTCATTGAATGAGGCGTCGCACAGCAGCTGCTCTAAATTGTTCACATCATTGTTGCTTTCCTTGAAAAAACAAAGCCCTCATTGCTGAGGCCCAGGCAATCGTATTATCTTCCTTTCATTTCTTATTGTTTGTTTACTTATCGGTAGCCGTTGTAGCATTAGGTGAACTGCTCCTCTCCCCTTTCCCCAACCTCATCTATTTTCCCCCTTTTCTGCACACTCAGCGTGTGCGCTGCACCTACCAAAAGTTGAAACTCATTTGTCCCTCTTTCCGCTTCTTCTATTTTTTGTTGTTTTTGTTTTTTTGCTGGACGTTGCCGACATGTCCTCCAGAATGGGGACATCGGCGCGGCTTAATGACGAACCGTCCTTGTCCGTAGGGGCAGCGACTTCCTCCGCGGGGAGCTTCGGCGCAGGAGGATGCGGGCGCTACACCGCGGCTCTCACGAAGGCGCTGCCGGCCACCGCCACCGCACCGGGCGGGGCATCGTCATCGCCTCCGGCGGCGACAGCAACGCCGCCGAAACCGGCAAAAGCAGCTCGTGCGAGGGCACAATCCGCCGACTCTCCGCGGTGTGTCGTAGGTGCCGTGAATGGGCACTCCAAGCGTCGATCATCATCGCTATCCGTAGCGGCAGCGGCAGCGTCGACGCCTGCTAGCCGCGATGACGCCGTGCGAAACTCCACCACCACGCCGCGTGCGTCTGGCCGAGGACGGCGACCAGCTTCCTCGCCAAGCCTCTCCACCACTTCCCCGAATGCGGTGTCGTCGACGCACCTGGTGGCGACTGCGGAGGCGAAGCCATCGCCGCGGACCCACCGCCGCCACCGCCACCGCGCCCACCCCCTCCGAGGGGGCTCGTTGGCCGCCATGACAAAAGGCAACGAAATCAGCAGCAGCACCAGCAGCAGCAGCAGCAGCAGAGCCCGCAAAGATGCTCACTCGTCTCGCGGCGTCGTCCGCAGCCCGGCCACCCCCCTCGCGCAGGAGAAGGAAAGGCGCGCGACGCGGAAGGAGAAAGTGACGAACCGCCCCGTGGCAGCGTCCACCAACGGCTGCGCACGGCACCACAACGCCTGCTCTCGGCCCTCCGCGTTCGTTGGCGACGGAGCGACGCCGCCCAAGCGGCGAAGTCATCGGCGGCGATCCGGCGCAGAAGAGGCGGAGGAGACGAACAGCCACGCGTCATCTTCCGCGGCATCGTCGTCATCGCCGCTGTTGCACCCTGCTGGGAGCTCTGCCGGCGTGACGCCACCACGCAAGTCCGCCGCTGTGTCATCTCTGTTGTCAACCCTTCCCGTGTACCGCGGCGCGACCGCTGCAGCACCTGTCCTGAAGATGGAGAAAGGCGGACTGTCGAGCACGTACACTCCTGCCGTCAGCAACGCAAGCACTCCGAGCAAGAAGCGGCACTCTTGCGCGTGTCGTTGCCCCTCCCCTCCTCTCCACACGTTGCAGGATTACGAGGGAAAGCCAACGGAAAAGGGAAGAAGAAGAGACAGCACCCGCAAGCACGCCGCGCCGACGGCGGACAAACCGTGGCTGTCAAAACCAGAAGGAGGCGGAATCTTGAAAAGCCGAAAACCCTCTCCTCTACGTACCGACTCGATCGAGGTTACCTCAACGCCCACGGAAAAAAATCTTCTACTCAGTGCCACCGCCCCGCCGCTCATCTCCATCGGCACGACCACGCCGCGCTCCGCCAGCGCGCAGAACTTGGAGCATTCGCGACATGTGCGCTTCGACGAGGCAAATATTGAATACCTGGGAGCGTTTGCCAGCCGCATCATCTATAGTGATAGCCAGCTCGGTGTCCAGCTGAGCAATGAGGAGTGGGGCGCCGTGATGATGTCGCCGACCTCGGCGCACGAGTACAGCGCGGCGCGGCGGCCGGACACCGGGACAACGGTGTCGATGGGCAAGGCGAAGCCCAGCGCGTGGGGAGGCGACTCGGAGTGGTTTAACGCGGAGTTCGGCTCACAGATGGAGCTGCACACCGACCACTCCGACCTGCCCTCGCCGGCGCTGACCCCGGCTGCCCTCGGCGCGCCGTGCTCCGCCCTCTCCGCGCGGTCCATGCCGTCGTCCCTGCTGACTGCCGCGCCACCTTCTGGCTCTGCTAGCCCATTCGCACCGACGGCGCAGGCGCTCCTCACGCCGGCCATCGCACACGCGAACGGCGCCGAGTTGACATCTGCCAGTGCCACGGGGTTCGTGCGACAAAGGCCGCAGCTGGAAGCCTCCACGAACACAAAAGGCCTCCACCACAAAGAGAAAGAAGAGCCACGTCGGCCACCGACACCGCCAGTGTGTCCGCGCAACCGCAACAGCACCTCAACAGCGACACCGGAGGAGAGCGAGGGGGAGACGCGCTGCTCATCACCGGTGTTGGTCTACGAGCGGGCTCCGTTGAGCACGACAGCGGGCCCGCCGTCCACGTTGTCGAAGTCGCAGACGGGCGTCAACGCACTCCGCTGCACCGTCTCACCGATGGACGCGTCCACGTTTTCCACCCACTCCGCCAACGACGCCCTCACGCCGGCGCCGCCGCACACGTTGGCGGGCTCGCTGCGGCGCCACTCGTCATCAGCGCAGAGCTCCCCCTCGACGTCCCCCACCCTGCAAGGGACGATGGGCGGCAGCAGCAGCAGCCACAGCTACCGTCGTTCGAGTGGCAGTCGCCCCCGTCTCTCCTCACCAGGAGTGTCCTTCGCAAACGTCGACCTCCGAGGCCTCAACATGGACGACGACTTTGAAGCGTTGGGCGGCGCGGAAGAAAAGGGCTCCGTCCACGCAACGGCATCGCCACCGCCGCCGCTGCACGACGCCGCGCTCCTCGCCGGGTTGGCAGCGGGAGGCGACGTCGACGGCGCCGGCGTGGGCGATTCTCCGTCGACGAGAGCGCTGCAGCTCTCCGCGTCGGAGCGGCGCCTGCTGCGGGCGGTGATGCACATCAACACGCAACATGGCCCCACCCGCTCGCCGAATAGCGTGCGCGCCACCCCCGTGGCGAGCACACCAGTGACAGACTCGAAGGGGAAGGGCAGCGGCGTGCATGCGTTGCGTGCGTCGGTCCGCACGCTCGGTGACCCCTGCGAGGAAGTGCTCTCCTCCGATATTCGGCAGTTCCTCGAGGGGGATGGCAAGAGACCCATCAGGGAAAAGAAGCAGTAGTCATCGGCGAAAACAATGAAGTGGCCGTGTCCATCGGCGCTGGACGTCCCCGCTTTTAACTGCCTCCGTCGGAGTCGTCCCGGCTAGGGGTGATCTTCTTGTGTTTTTCCTTTTTTTTTAACTCCTCAAGTGCGGAGAGCTGGATGTAGATTTCTTTTCCAAGTGAGGGGCGGCCGCCGATCTGGCGACCTGAATGCCCCCTCGCACTGCTCCCTCCACCGTACAATCGGGGCCGTTTGAGGGTTGAGGCCGGATGCAACGCACGTGCCAGAAAACTTTGTCAACCCGGCACGCGTGCAAATTGATACAGATATATGTGTGTGTTCCCGATGAGCAGTCTGAGCACTGCCCTTCGCGTTGCTCTTTTGCGCGTTCGCGTGAATATGCTTTTTCCCCCTCTTTTCTGTTGTGTTCCTTCAACATATATGTATGAGTTCTGTGCCGTGGTGGCGGCTCTTCCCAAAGTGCGCTCTCTCTCTTCTTTTGTTTTTTCTTCTTTGACGGAGGCCTCAACGTTGCGGTCTGCGCTTTGATGGCGTTTTTCTCTTTTTCTTTCTTTCCTTTGCCCAGTATTTCTTACTCCTTCTTCTATTATATTGTGCTTCCACTGAGTTCGCCCACACAGGTACACCCCCACCCCCACACACGCACGCATACACGCACGCACGTGTGTGTGTGTGTGTGTACAGAGCTGACGCAAACCCTTCATTGTTGTTCATTTACTATTATTATTTCTAAAGTAGGGGAGGGAAGGGTTTTCTATCTTCGTATATGAAAATGCACTGCCGATGTGGCGTGACGAGTGCTTCGCCCTTTTGGTTTGCTCTTTTTCTTCTGCACATTCGCGTGTTCTCTTTTCTTTCTGTCTGTTTTGCTGGTTTCTTCAGATCTGCACCTGTGCCAGGTTCGTCCCGTTCTGTAAAGGCACGTCGCAGTGAGGTAGAGAAAACGGAAAAAAGCGAAGGTGCAAGAGAGAGAGGTGAATGCAGGCCCTTAACCGGATATACATATATATATATGTGTGTGTGTGCAGGTTGTGCGGCGCTACACAGCACGTTGCTACTGTCAACGGAAGACTATTGGAAGACTCTCGCTGTCGCACGCAAAGCAAGTCGACGACGATAGTCCGTGAAGGATGAACGTGTCCGGCTCTGCGACGTGGTCACCAAAAGCTCCCTCCTCACTTTTCGCCTACGCCGGCGCACATTTCATTGCGTACAGATGTAGCAGAGAGAGAGAGAGAGAGAACGCACATACAGTTCACAAAGTATTGCACGCCGTCTTCTGTACTATCATCTTCCTTCCTTTTTCCCGATGTTGTTGTTCTCCTTTCTCCTTTCCCATTCCTCTGTCGATGCAGCACGGAGAGGCGAAGAAGAAAGAGCGTCGAGGAGCCAGAAGGACGAGGCAACGCAGTCGATCCACCTTTCGTCTTTTGGTCTGTCTCGCAAAGAGAGATCCGTTTTCAGTTCTGTCTTGCTCTCTGGTTCATATATATCTATAGAGAGAGGGGAGAGAGGGAGAGCGTCGTCGCCTCTTGATGCGCTGTGCCTGGTGACGTGCTCCGATAGCCTCTTCTGCTCTTTTTTCCCCCCTCCTCCCCTTTTTCCTGAACGATTACGCACGCCTTCCGCGTCCTCGCAGATGATGCCAGCCGATCCCGTCGCAGGCCCGAGTACGGCAGGGAGGCTGCAGTGGCGCACCTCTCTACTAGAGGCGGTGCGGCGCTACAATGAGGAGAACTTAGCGACGACAGCGGACTTGCGCGACGGCGCGGCGGCGGAAGACGTAACTGCTGCTTCGTCGCTGTTAAAAGTACTGGTGCAACGCACGCCCAACGTCACGAACCCGTCGTGGGCGATGGAGGAGTGCGGGCGGTTGTGTCCGAATGTGGAGCTGTGGTGCGGGTCGGCGCTAGCAAAGGACGTGTGGGCACCGCCCGGTACGCCGGATTGCCCATTTGGCACGCAACCCGCGGACTTCCGCATTCACCACTAGAAGGACCTGCGTGTCCGACGGCGTTGGTGGAGGGATATCGGTAGAAGCAATACACACACGCAGGCACTCTCCATCAGAAACAACGACAAAAAAAAAGGTACTATTTGGGGTCCGCACACGACGCACCAAATTGGAACCGATTGCTCTAGCAACGCAAATGCCGTCGATGCATTTTTCTTTTTATTATTGTTGTTGCTACTGCTTAGCGTAATCGTGAGCGTCGTGTCCTCGGAGACGATTTAAACTACTCTTTGCATTTCCGACTTGCGGCACCCTTCTTCTCTGCTGGTGTTACTAATGTTGATCTCTACGTTACCACGCCGCTTCTCCTTTTCCTCCTCGGGGTTTCCTTCTCCTTCCACAATTCTCCTCACGCGACCACAACGACTTCCACTACTTTTATTGTTTGAAGCCAATGAGGTTTACGGTGACGTGTCTCGTGTCGAGCGTGAACTCCTCACTGCTGAGTGAGGCGGAGGCGGTGACGAAGGAAATCGTCGTGGCCAATCCACGCGCCAACGTGCAAAGCCTGCGCGCCATCGTCGCGATTCAATTTCGACTGAACGTTGTCGCCTTCGAATTCCGCTTTGACCGCCGGCAGGCGGCAAAGTCGGCGGCAGCAGCAGCGGCGACGGAGGCCACCGCGGAACCCGTCCCGGCATCGTCCTCGGCCGACAGCGCCGCTCCTCCAGCGGTGGACTTTAGTGACGAGCGAAAGTTGCTGATGGAGTGCGGGCTGGCGGATGGGGATCACCTGACGGTGGTGCCGAAAAATTATCGGCCGTCTGCGGATGTGGCGATGGGAGCGGAGGTGGCGGTCACGGTGGCAGACGGCAGAGCGGCGAAGAAGCCGCGCACGGAGGAGGGAGAGGAGGGAGGTGAGGGGGAGTTGGGCGACGGTGATGAAGAAGAAAGCTTGAGAGAAGAGGACTCCGACTCCGACTCCGACGCTGATAGCGCGGAACATGCAGCGCAGAACGACTTGTTCGAGGCCCTCCGCGACGTCGTGCCGGATCTCACTGTCCTCCGCAACGAGTTCCTGGCCAACCCTCAAGCGGTGATGGAGCGCATCGAGCGCAACCACGCCTCGCTTTTTCAGGTCATCACACAGAACCAGGAGACTTTCATTAATCTTATGAACAACGAGCAGCTTACAAAGGCGGCGCAGAGCATGCTGCACGGCGGGCCCGCGCTGGGCGGCAGCGGCGACTCCGGCGACGAGGAGAACTCGCTAGAGTGGTCGATGGGCGAGGAGGATGAGGAGATGGATGAGGAGACGGAGGCGCAGATGAACGCGCTGTTTCAGAACTACATCGCCTCGGGTGGTGCGGGCGGCGACTTCGATGCGGCGGACCTCGCCGCCTTGGAGGCGAGTGGGATGGAAGTGGGAGATGTGGACGAGGCGGAGGGGGAGGAGGGCGGCTCCGCGACGGCGGGGGGCAGCGCGAGGAAGTCGGAGAAGGACTTCCTGTTGTCTCGCGTTCCGTCGGAGGAGGACGAGAAGAAGATTCAGGCGCTCACAGAGCTTGGGTTCACGTACGAGCAGTGCAAGGTGGCGTTCTACATGTGTCACCGCAGCATTGATCGAGCATCAAACATGCTTTTTGAGGCCCCACCTGAGCTGTAGCGGAGTAAAAGGAAGAAAAACTTTTTCCCCAAGTAAAACACGAATAGAGGGGAAGAGGGAAGCAACGCGAGGTCACTCAACAAAGGAAGGGGAAAAGAACGAGAAGAGTCAACGCATCCCACCTGATTTTGCGCTCGCCGTTGTTGTCGCGCATGTCGAGAACCTCATCTAATTGGGCGGAGGCGATCCTGCAGCCAAAAGCTGCGAAGACAGCACTTTCTGCGGATCAGGGTACGTTGAGAACTTCTCTCTTTTGTGTTTCCATTTTTCTCCGTGTACTTTGTCATAGACTTGAGTTCGCAAATAGTAATACGAGCAGTAAGACGGTAGGGGGAACACACGGAGACGCGCATGTTAGCGCAACCGAGAACGCCGTTGATGCCTGAAAGCTGCATGCAGAACTGTTTTAAAGGAGTCGTCCGCGCTTTGCTCTCAACGAGCGCACTTCCTCGTATAAATGATCAATCTGTGCTGCATTCCACTACTTGACGTCAACTGCGCTGCCTTCTTTCTTCCATTGTTTTTATTTCGTTTGTTTGTTTGTTTGTTGTGATTTATAAGATCTACTTGTCTTCTTGTTTGCCTCATCAGTGACGCATTTCTTTCACTTTCATTCCACTTCGGGAGTGCGTTGCTAGTGTGACAACATCCTTGAACGAACGATTGCACTGTCGTGCGCGTGAGTTTCTCTGCCTGTCTGATATCTAAAACAAAGCTAATTGTGTCACCATCCTCTGTTAGATCAACCTCTTTTCCTTTTACTGTTGGCCAACTCCACCCACCGCAGCCGTCACACATCTCCGCTTTCCTTTATGACGTTGATTTCATGCCGCAATGACCAGCACTGCCTTGTCAACCGGAACGCCTGCTCAAAGCTGGAGTGGTGCTGCACGACGCACGTACCCTCCTTCGACATGCGCCTTCAACCCCACCTGCACCGTCGCGGTTGTCTCCACCATCGCCGGTGTGCGACCATTTGAGCTGGTGGAGGCGTCCGCCGCTGCGAATCGGCATGGCCCGATTGCCCAGTCGCTCATGCGGCCCCGACCCGCGCAACACGAAACGCATGGTTCGTCCGCTGCACATCTGGCTCTCTCCGGCGCGGCAGCGGCACATCCGCAAAGCGCTGCCGCATCGAATGCGCTCTGGGCAACGCCCGTGTACGCCGCCACTGTGGCAGGGGAGAGTGCGCTCGTCGCAGTGGTGTTCCGCGCTCGCCCTGCGGTTTTCCTTGTACCCACGCACACCGTGGCGGCCGCAGAGCGACCTCCACCGACGCAAGAGAAGGACGACGCGCCAACGTTGCCAACGCACCGGCCATTAGCACAGGATGCTGATGCTGATCCTGTGCCCGACCGCGAAGACGGCGAAGACGTGGGTGCGACGTCTGGATGCGGCAACGGACCTTCCTCGCCGTCCTCACCGGTCGATGCAGACCGCAGCACCTCCGCGGAGCTCTTCGCCGCGGAGGCGGAGTATCGTCGTTACGTCTACCTGTTTGACGCCACCACCGGCCTCTGCCTCGCTGCCCTGCACTTCTGCGGCTCTCCCGTCTTGGCCCTCCGCGCCAACGCCGCCGTGCTGCTCGTGATTGCGGCGGATCTATTTCACGTGGTCGAACTCGACGCCCTGCATTACGTACGTCAGCAGAGTACGTACAAGCCACCGAACCCGCGCGCCATTCTCGATCTCTCGTCCGCGGTGGCTGTGAAGGCAAAGAAAGCACCGCTGCCGCGCGCCGTTGCGAAGGACCAGCCCCAGTGCTCTGGGTCGCGCCACTTTCCACCTCAGTACAGCTACGCCATCGCGTTTCCGCAGTCCGCGCGGGGCTACCGCGGTGATGTGACGGTGCTCACGCTGCACACCACACCGCGACCCTCTCCGTCCCCCTCCCCCTCCCAAGAGCCGTCGCACGCATCGCAGAACCTACGGAACGGCGACGCGGCAATCGCGTCTTCTTCCCCCGCTGCGGTGCCGGACGCACCGCCCTCCATGCAGCAGCGAACGATCGCGGCCCACCACCACGCCATCGCGCACCTGCGCCTCCGCCACGACGGCCGCCTGCTGGTCACCGCCTCTGAACTCGGCAGCACGCTGAAGCTGTTTGACTGTGCCACCGGCTCTCTCTTGGCGGAACTGCAGCGGGGGCACCGACCTGCCTCGGTGCTGTCGCTGGGCCTCCAGCACGATGCCTACCGCGTTGCCGCGCTCAGCACGAACGGCACCCTGCACGTGTTTAACTGCGCGGCGGTGGTGCAGTCGTGGGAGGCAGGGCGGCGCTGGCCAGTCACAACGCCGACTACCGCGACCGGCTTTTCTTATTCGTCGTCCTCCTCCGCCATGAACAAAACACGCGCCGACTACAAGATGAAGGTTCCGCCTCTTCACGGCAAGGACGCGAGGCATCTCGTCGCGAGGGCGAAGGGCGTCATCGGCACAAGTGTTAGCCCGACACCAGCAGATGCCACGGCTGCTGCAGCGGCGGCGGTCAACCTCCCGAGTGACGGTTCGATTCACTACGATGTCGGGTTTACTGCGAATGGACGCACGGTGTGGGTGGCGCAGGTGGAGTCCATTGATGCCCAACTCGCGTTTGATGGGCGGCAAAACACTGCTGCTGCTGCTGCTGCTGTCGCTACGGGAGCTACTCGCAGCGACGAACCGTATCGTGTGAGACAATCCTTGCAATTTGCAGGTCATCAAAAGCGATGCGTTGGCAGGTTGACGCGGTTTCCCGTGCTGCCGCCGGGCCGCACAGGAGCAGCAGACGTGGAGGTAGAGGGCGTGAGCTTCTCTATTGAGGTCTAACGTTAGAGGGACAGTGGCGTGAACGTGAAGCCGCTGCATTGCCTGAGTGCCTTCTTTTCAAAAAGCAAACAATGATCTGTCTCCGGTACGTTGTTTGTCTATTGTAAGAAAGCTTAGATTATTATTACTATTTGTCCTTAGACTCCTTTGTTGTTGTGTTTATGTTATTACTATTACTATTAACGCTGCGCTGGCTCTGCTATATTTACTTTTGCTGCTGTGCGGCTTGGTTGGCCCGCTTTCCTTCTTAGGGGTGTCCATGGCCGTTTTTTCGTTGTTGTTGTTGTTGTTTTGAGACGCAAAACGACGTTTCTGTTAGCGCACAAAAAAGGCTACCATCTCGTTTATATATATATTTCTTTCTCGCGGAGAACGGATGGCATATATACATTGGGGGTAACCATAGAGCTCGTGTTCACTGTTATAGTTATTGTTATTTGCGCCTCCGGTAGGGTTGTCCCCTGCGTCGCCCCCGCCACTGCACCCACCGTTTGCAGGACACCGAAGTCACCACATCCTCCTGAGCGAAAAAAAATGATCTTGTATACTCTTTTCATTTCATTTCTTTTCTTTACCTCTCTGGTATTTGCACAGCTCGATCACAATACAATCGTGAAGAATTAAGGATTTGAAGTCCCCCCCCCACCCCACACACACACACACACAACAAACA